CTGTTGTTCCAGGACAGACTGACTCTATCAGATGTACAACCAGTTCAGGTGTTGGTAGCAACCTTCACTGGTACCTTCAGAAACCTGGAGAAGCTCCTAATTTACTCCTGTTTTATTAAGCTACAGCATGTCACTGGGAAGTGGATCTGGTTCTGACCTCACTCTGACAATCAGTGGAGTTCAGGCTGTAGATTAAGGAGTTTCCTACTGTCAGAGTCTTTACAACGTCGCACAGAAACCTCCCTCAGCTGGAGAGGATTGATCATTTAAATACATGGAGTATGAGAACACATGAACACTAAAACTGAAAGTATTATGTTTATTTTATGTCTTATTTCTTACTGAAAGTTTAAAAAGATTTTTGTCTGTTTGTATTCTAGCACTGAAACCAAGCGGTAGAATTGTAGATCACACTCATCTTATTTCACCTCATACTGATGCTGTGCTTTTTATATCAAATTTAGAAAATTAGTGACTTATGTAGTTTCATTCAAAGAATAATTTGTTAAGTTTTGTTAAGTTTTTACTCAATCAAAGCTACAGGAAACTATATATGTATTTTTAATTGCATTCAACTCTTAGAAAAGTCATTAATATTCTGTGTATGAGTTAATTTATGTACAGAAGTGTGTAATCACAGAGTTTGACCACCTGATGGCGCTGACAGGTTGATTATTACACTGTAAAATGTCTCCATACATGGTTGGTGTTCTTAAATAACCAAATTAAAGGGATCCTAATTAAAAATGTTTTTATCTCATGTGTTAAAAGAAGAATATTAACTGATATATTGCTATCAGACTTTATGGATTGCAGTGTCGGTCCACCATTTTGGTCCAGATTAAAATATCTCAATAACTTCAGGATGCGTGGTATGAAATTTGGTTCAGCTCACAGACTTTAGATCATAAACCCATCTAGTGTAATGTTGCTGGCTCGGGGCTATTACAGCCTAACTGAACTAATGAACTTTAAACAAATCCAAAGGAAATATTGATGAAATTAAATGTGAACAGTTGTATTTGTATTTGTGCACATTAATGGTGATGAAACAAATATGTTGCTGATAAATATGTTGTGTATCATTTATCTAAAAAGCAAATATCCTATCCAAATATCCAAATATATTACTGGGAACTACTTTGTTTATAGGTGGTTGTAGTAAGTCTCTCTACTACCTTGGGTTCCCTCAGCACACAATCCAGCACCACAGGTCTGTTGGTCAACACAACTTTTATTCTGTGGCAGCCAGCCGAGGTCCAGCACACTACTGCAATATAAGGAGAGAGTGATTACTCAATGAGTACCGGCTGAGATCATCAACTCACCTGGCGCTGCTCTCACAAGCCTTCCCCACACCTCTGTCTCCTGCAGCTGAGTGTAAACCACACCCACCTCCATCTGGTTAAATAATGAATTTGTAAATATGGTGATAGTTATATGAAACATTTACATTACTTACTTTGTAAGTAATATTAAAGACTATAGAAGAACTTAATAATGTGATCAAATCACCCTCATGCGCAAATCATACATTAAAAATAGCCTAATTTTACACATGATCCATGTGATCCATCATGACAATACAAAAAAACAAAAAACGAAACAAAAAGGAAATGCATGGAAAAAAAGCATTTTGCCAATATTTTAGAGACCCCCCCCAAAATTTCACAAATCATGTTTTCAGGGGAGCTCATGTCTCATTAAGGGGGGCTGAGACCCCCCTGGCTCCCCGTAGTTCACACCCTGGGTGTAGCGAGCAATGTAACAGTAAGAAGCAGCCACAAAGAGGAAGAGTTAATGAGCTGCACACCTCCTTCCTGGTACCAGCCAGGTAACCAAAGTTACTGTTCCCAGAATCTGATTAAACCACATTTACCACCAGGAACTACAGGTATCACACGAACAATAACAACTATATAATACAACAAAAACTGATTGATAAATATTTCCTGCCAATCACTCCTCAGTTCCCACCATCCACATATATAAAGATAGGCAACATGACAGCTCTCCAACAGTGAAGCCAAAACGTCTCTGCTGCCCTCTGGTGGCCGACTGCAGTATGGGTCATAAAGCCTGCTGATGGGACAAAGGTCAAATACATTTTTATATGGATTCTGTTATTTTAGGTAGGTCTTCATTTATATCCTCAGTTTGGTACAGTAAACATATTTTAATACGTTATGTCCCTGTTGTTCCCCTCAGTTATTGTATTTTACTGGCTTTACTTGTTTTACATTGTGTTTGACTGACTGAATATAACTTAAAGGCTGTAATAATTTGAATCTCATGAGAATATCTAACTGTGAAATATAAACACTACTGAATGCTTAAAGCTATACACAAACATAGCTGTGAAGCTAATATTTAAAACTAACAAATATATTGAAGTTCTGATAAATTAAGAGTTTCCTGTAATACATAATTACAGTTATCATGAATCAATGTATCAAAGTGTAAAGACTGTCATCAAAGTACTATCAGAGTATTATTATTGTGCCAGGACTAGTCAGACACAGAAAGAAACTATTTGTTGTTTTGATTCATAAACAGTACAGGAAACAATATATATGTGGTTAATTCCTTACAGGTCGTACAATAATTATTAATTTCATCATAAGTGTCGTTCCAATGTAAACTGAAGTGAACTTGGTGAGATGGACCCTCGGAGGGCTGAGGGAGCGAGTGAACAACGATGGTCACTCCGAGGTGGCTATCACCCACAATGCATTGCAGTTTACGTCATTGCCGCTATAACGCCGACGGCTGCCAATGAGTAGACTCCAAGGCCAAGTGCGTTTCTTTTAAATCCCCCGCTCCTCCCCCGCCCACTTTCCCTCCGCGCTCCAAGTGGCCTCCGTGCAACGTATGCTGTTACGTCATACCAAGGGCTGAGGGGAAGTGGGACTACTGATGAAACGCAGCCCTGGTTAATGTTCTTTAAGTTGCATCCCAGTAGGGCTTGAGTGAAATATTCAGAATACACACTTGGCAGAGCCTCGATGCCATCCTGTTATCAGTCAGCTCCCTCTTTATAGAGTGAAAGTCCCATATGCATCAATATTATTAACATTAAAGTGCATTTGATTAAAGGACCAGTGTGTTGGATTTAGTGCTTTCTGTGCAGATTGCAACTCCCTCAACTCACCCTACCTTTCCAAACGCGAAGCAGAAACTATGGTGGCTTCAAAAACCACAAACATATCTTGAGCCAGTGATTGGTTTGTCTTTTCTGGGTTAATGTGTAACAAAAACAGAATGATTATAATAATCACATAATTATACATCTTATTTTCCATTTCTGCCAACAGATCCTCCTCAGTGTTAAACTCTGGACCGTTAAGACTTCTGGTGCACATCCTGACTTCTTTAAGAAATATTATATCAGTGAAAATCACCTTCTGCCCCTGGAGACCAAATGTGCTTGTTTCAAACAAAACAATCTTATATTTAAAATGTCTTCACTTAAAGGCACCAAAGAGTTTCCAGCAGTGTCTTATTTTGTTTGTCCCTCATGTGCTCGCTTCTCTTCTTCTCTGTTCTTTGACTTCCCTCTTCTTAAGGACTCTTAACACCTAACTGTCATCTAGCCTTTTCTTATAAACACTGAAGCTATATAGATTTGTAGATATTTCACTTCTCTCTTTTTTTATTGCCTTCTTATAGTGACAGCTGAAGATAGACAGGAAAGGGGGGTAGAGAGAGGGGATGACACGCAGCAAAGGGCCACAGGTGGGATTCCAACCCTGAGCCGCTGCAGCAAGGACTCAGCCTCGGTACATGGGTCGCCAGCTCTACCGTCTGAGTTAACCGGGCACCCTCACTTCTCTCTATTTAACATATTTTTTGGTTCAACATAATTCTAACAGTGAATAATGAATCATCAACATAATGAACATACATATTTCACTGATATCTTGAGCTCTGCAGAGATGACAAAATGTCTACAGATGATACTTATCAGCTATCATATTGTGCTCTTAGTCTTTATTTCTTCTAACACTCAGAGAATACAGTTTTATGATAAACCCACTTATCATGTGATGAGCTGACCGATGTTACTAAATGTACATATTCTCTTTCTGTTCTCTGACCTCAAACTTTATTTTCTCAGATTGCTGTTCTGCAGTCGATGTTTGTGGATACAGGAAATGGTTCAGAAATGTGGATTCATTAAAGTGAACATATAAGTGTGTATACTGGTTTTGCATATGTGCTTTGTAGTTCAATTTATTTTATGTGGACAAAAATCAACAGAAATTAAAGTTAAATCAGTCATGTTATGGGGGCTCATCCCACATTTGGGGACAAGCAATGTGTCTCTACAGAGTAATTCATCACATTTTAGGATTAAAAATCGACTTGAATGCACTAAATGAAAGTGATTATTTCCACTGTATTATTAGAGTGAAAAGGAGCCACAAACTGTCTTATGTGTATTTATTTGCTTTGAATTAGAATTACAGATCACAAAAGAAAGAAAATGTAAAGTGTGGAACTCTAAATTATATATGATCATAACTGAATAAACAGGAAAGGTGTTTACAGTCACCCCTTTTTAAATTTGCAGAAGTGTCCATTTAATATATGCAATACTGCTGATAATAATAAAACATATTGAACAAGAACGCTGTGAATGTTTGTGGGTTTATTTAAGATGGAGCATCTACACATACTGGCAGACTTCAGTTGCATTCGGTCAAGCAAACTTAGTGCTGCACAGCTGTGGTTTTTAAGTGTTAAATTCACACCCTCACACTGCATCCTGTATGAATACTCTCTGTATATCTGTATATCTATCTCTGTATTCTGAATAAATAATATATTCCTGTTTTATGTGCATTGTTTGCTGTTCTGGACATTAGCAGTGGACATTAACAGTGTGTTATGGAGTGTGTGTGTGTGTGTGTGTGTGTGTGTGTGTGCGTGCGTGCGTGTGTGTGTGTGTAAAGGAAAGGGAGGAGCTTCAGCCTTTGAAAGGGTGAGACAAAGGGGAAGTTATGGACTGTGTTTGCACTGACCTGATAATTGTTGTACACTTGCTCTTTATTCTTTACTCGTCACTTTCAGAATGATAACAATCTATGTGTACTCTTGTCTTCTTTCTGGTGAGTTTATCTTTTTATATTCTCTGTATTTGTACCGACTGCAGCTTGTGTACAAATGCTGCTAGATACATTTTTATATGTGTGTTTGCTAAATGAGTCATTTAGTGGTTCACTTTTTGTAAAAGTGAAGTTTTACCATCACAAATAATTCAGTGGATCAATATTAAAAGAATTCATTCATGCATTGACATTATGACAATGACCAACAATGTTTCCTTTATTTCCACGTGTAGCTCTGAGTGTTGTGGTGGTGAAACCGCTCAACATAGATGGACGTGTTGGAACAAATGTTACATTCAAATGCTCCGACTGGAACGTTTGGACTGATGTAAAATATAATGTAAAGTATCTTTGTGCTGATCCATGCTCAAGAGTCATCATCAAAGCAGCATTTAAAGAGACTGTGCGTAAGAATAGAATAGAGTTAAGTAACAGTGCAGAAGGTTTATTTGTGACCTTCATTCATCTCCAAAAGTCAGACTCTAAGAAATATTATTGTGCAGTGGAGAGACCTGGCCCAGATTCATATATAGAGGTGAATCTTAAAGTCATAGATGGTAAGTTTATGCTCCTCATTTATATTTTTAAATACCTCTCCTCTGTCAAAAACTACTGTCCAACTAGTTGTCTTTAATTAATAAATACTGTCTGTTGTTTCCAGCTGAGTCTTCCACTCCCAAGACAACTCCAAAATCATTTGCTGTTACAAAGAGCTCCACAGTGTCTTCAAGCAGCTCAGACAGTGTTACTGATCTGTCTGCGTCATATACGACCCTTTATACAACACCTACTGCTGGTATGAACTGCACACTCATCTAAAGTTGAACTTTGGTGTGGCTGTGGCTCAGAGGTAGAGCGCTGTGTGAAAGGGTGAATGTGGCTGTAGTGTAAAAGCACTTTGACTGGTCAGAAGACTAGAAAAGTGCTATACAAGTACAGGTCCATTTACCATACATATGTTACATTTTTAATTGAAATTCAGGGTGTAAATATTGTGTCCATTGCAACGACAGTATGAACATCAAGCTTTTGAGACATTAAATAAAAAATAAAAATAGCTAATAGTTAATAGAAAACCTCAATAAGGTTCCAAATTCTTGACACAAAGCAGTCTTATAGTAAACACACGTATGTTCATCAAGACTTTTACAGATACAAGACAGCAGTAAAAGGTCAGGGGTCAGGCAGACAGGGAAGCAGAGCAATGAAATGCTGTAGATGGGCAGCAGAAAAATTCTTTACCACATAAAAAAAGCCCTCCAAGTACAATTATAAGAATATTTTCACCACTTTTCCTCACTGACTGCCTCTTTCTTTGGCACTAATCATAGAACTTTGTACACATGGGCCTGTGTTACACTGCAGACCAGCTGTTTGGGTCAGAGTTACAGCAGCACAGTCCTGAGAAACACAAGCGTGCACCAACTTTGACATATTTAGCAACATGAAGTTTTATTTCAGTCTGATCTTGCAACTTTTGGACCCAAACAGCTGATTCTGTGGTGTAATACAGTGTGTCCACAGTAGTACATCTCCTGTCTGCTTTTCCAGACTGCAGAATACCCAAACTTTATTTCATTTAGAACATCTTTATCTGTACCTTCAGTTTTCAGGTCAATCACAAATTATTAGTATTCACTGAACTGATGTGAGCAGCTGTATGACCTGTTAACCTTTGTCCTTTTCTCTCTTTGTCCAGGAAATTCACTTTATTGGATTCTGGTTTTACCTTTTATAATATTTGGAGTGCTCATACTGATGCTAACCAGGAAGATGATGAAGAAACAACCTAGTAAGACACATAAACCAACTGTATACAGTGGCGGTCCGTGGAATAGGTGACAATAAAATATTTTTCCCCCAAAACCTGGTTCTGAATCCAAATGAGTCATATATTAGGATATGCAGTAATATATTTTTTAAGATACATTCTATAAATACTTAGACCAGGGATTGAGATTAGCAGGAAACAGGATTTTGCTGTGATTTATGGCCATATTGAACATGCAGTCTTTCTCTTCTCTCCTCTGACAGACACACTGACACTGAGCTTCATTAGGACAGTCTAGCTGCTTGGAGCATAAAGCTAAAGTCAGATTCACCAGTTATCATGAAGACCTGTTCCACACGACCTGAGGGGTCTTGCTGGTTCATAGCTCACAAGAATGTCAGAGAGATACTGGTTCCAGTGCATGTAAGGTCTTCTGCCTTTCAGATATTCCTCTGAGCAGAGCGTTACAGTAATCTAGCCGATTAGAAATAAAAGCATGCACAAGCCTTCTGGGCGGCACAGAGGCTCAGTGGTTAGGACTGTCGCCTCACAACCTTGTTCGAATCCCGGGTGGGGCAGGGCCTTTCTGTGTGGAGTTTGCATGTTGTCCTCTGGGTGCTCCAGTTTCCCCACCATTAACATGTATGTGAGGTTCATTCTCCAGTCAGTCCTTGAGCAAGGCACTGGCTCAGATCTGGAGTTGCAAATTCCTATAATAAAATAACGTAAGAGTTTGCTTGGGCCACCAAAACATCCAGGACCACCACTGTACCGTATTAACTGTATTACATATCCTCCAATGAACATTATTTTGACCAGTCAGTTAACAAATGCTGCCCTGATTGTTTTCCAGTGGTTGTTACCCCACCAGAAGATGCAGGAGAGGTGAGTTTTGCCATTTTGAATCTTTAACCATGTGTACGGCTTTCTGTGCTGGACAGCAATGACACAGCTTGAATCCTGCCCCTAGTTTTCCTTTGTCGTTTCTTATGTTCATGCTGTTCAGGATCGAGTAGATCAACTTTTACTACTCCCTCACTTCACCCTCCCTTTCCAAGTGTGAAGGAGAAACTATCAAAACAAAACAATCATACATCTAAAATGTCTTCACTGAAATGCATTTCTACAGTGAGGTTTTACTGATCATGTCACTCAACCAAAGAGTTTCCAGCAGTGTCTTATTTTGTTTGCCCCTCGTGCTCGTTTCTGTTCTTTGACTTCCCTCTTCTTAAGGACACGTAACACCTAACTGTCTGCCAACTTTTTCTTAGAAACACTAAAGCTATATAGATTTGTATTTCACTTCCCTTTTTAACATATTTATTGGTTCAACATAATTCTAACAGTGAATAATGAATCATCAACATAATGAACATACATATTTCACTGATATCTTGAGCTCTGCAGAGATGACAAAATGTCTACAGATGATACTTATCAGCTATCATATTGTGCTCTTAGTCTTTATTTCTTTTAACACATGGAGAATACAGTTTTATGATGAACCAACTTATCATATACTAAATATTGTATGAATACTTTCAGCTGTTTAATTCTCCTGCATGTACGATACAAACTACTTTGTAAGAAACCTTTCAGGCTTGTGTAACTGTCTGTCCTACTTCACTCATCATTCTCTCTCAGCATTACTTTCATTGTTTGCTGCTATGGTATTTGACTCCCTTTGCATGATAAGAACTTTTTCTTACCTAAATGGAAAATGTGTATATTTTCCTCTTTGGCTTGTAGCTCCCAACCTCAGTGCCTTTTTGCTAATGTACGGCCTTTGTAGACACATTGCACCAGTGCATTGTCTTATTTGGTACCAGTCTGATAACAAACATGTTGTGAACAGAGTGCAGGTCCTGATGGAGTCTACCAATCACTCCACCCAGTTACGATGGATGAAGACCAGGTCTATAGCACTGTCTCACCCACCAGAGGCGTCTGTGACTCCACAGCTAAGTCACAGATTTGACTGAGTGTTGCAGAAGGAGCTGTTGCTTCACCATCATATGAAAGGATGTAAAACTAAATCAATAACAATGACTTCTTGCAGCTGCTAACCTTAATGGCAGATTGGTTCTCTTTATGGAGAGATGTGAGCCCTTTGTACACAGTCTGCTACACATTGACAGTTTAATATGGTTTTAAACTATAAAGTGAGAAATTATTTTCCTTAAAAACGCTGTGAATGTTTGTGGGTTTATTTAAGTTGGAGCATCTACACATACTGGCAGACTTCAGTTGCATTCGGTCAAGCACACTTAGTGCTGCACAGCTGTGGTTTTTAAGTGTTAAATTCACATCCTCACACTGCATCCTGTATGAATACTCTCTGTATATCTGTATATCTATCTCTGTATTCTGAATAAATAATATATTCCTATTTTATGTGCATTGTTTCCTGTTTTGTACATTAGCAGTGGACATTAACAGTGTGTTATGCAGTGTGTGTGTGTGTGTGTGTGTGGGTGTGTGTGTGCGTGTGTGTGTGTGTGTAAAGGAAAGGGAGGAGCTTCAGCCATTGAAAGGTTGAGACAAAGGGGAAGTTACAGACTGTGGTTGGACTGACCTGATAATTGTTGTACACTTGCTCTTTATTCTTTACTCGTCACTTTCAGAATGATAACAATCTATGTGTACTCTTGTCTTCTTTCTGGTGAGTTTATCTTTTTATATTCTCTGTATTTGTACCGACTGCAGCTTGTGTACAAATGCTGCTAGATACATTTTTATATGTGTGTTTGCTAAATGAGTCATTTAGTGGTTCACTTTTTGTAAAAGTGAAGTTTTACCATCACAAATAATTCAGTGGATCAATATTAAAAGAATTCATTCATGCATTGACATTATGACAATGACCAACAATGTTTCCTTTATTTCCACGTGTAGCTCTGAGTGTTGTGGTGGTGAAACCGCTCAACATAGATGGACGTGTTGGGACAAGTGTTACATTCAAATGCTCCGACTGGAACGGTTGGACTAATGTAAAATATCATGTTAAGTATCTTTGTGCTGATCCATGCTCAAGAGCCATCATCAAAGCAGCATTTAAAGAGACTGTACGTAAGAATAGAATAGAGTTAACTAACAGTGCAGAAGGTTTATTTGTGACCTTCATTCATCTCCAAAAGTCAGACTCTAAGAAATATTATTGTGCAGTGGAGAGAACTGGCCCAGATTCATATATAGAGGTGAATCTTAAAGTCATAGATGGTAAGTTTATGCTCCTCATTTATATTTTTAAATACCTCTCCTTTGTCAAAAACTACTGTCCAACTAGTTGTCAGATTAATAAATACTGTGTCTGTTGATTCCAGCTGAGTCTTCCACTCCCAAGACAACTCCAAAATCATTTGCTGTTACAAAGAGCTCCACAGTGTCTTCAAGCAGCTCAGACAGTATTACTGATCTGTCTGCGTCATATACGACCCTTTATACAACACCTACTGCATCAGCAACACAAGGACTGGGTATCGTCTGCACTCACACATACAGTATATCACCGATGTACACATATATTTTAATGTTAACTGACGTTGCAATGCATATTATAAATAATGAATCCAGTATGAACATCCAGGTGGTGAAATATAACTTAATGATAATGAATGATGTGAATAAAGATCCATATATTTAAAGTTGCTGTACAATATAATGTGTTATTAAAGTGAGTGTGAAACAGCTTTACATTCTGACAACCATCACTGATCAGTATTCACACGTCTGGTGCAAAGCAAGTTTAAGATCATTAATAGATTCATGTACAGCAGAGAGGATGTGAGGAGCAAGCTGTGCTGTGTGTGACTATCTTCCTCTTCCTCTTTCTTTGGCCAGGAAGTGTACCATATTTGATTCTGGGTGTCACTGTTATACTAACCATACTGCTGGTCCTACTGAAGCTCATGAGGAAGACGACAAAGAAACAACTGAGTAAGACCCACAATCCACTGCACACACTGCGTATATGTGGTAACATCAGCAACGTCAGCCTCCACCAGACATATAAACAATTGTCTTCATGTTTTCAGAAGGTGTGCCAAGTGCTGAGAGACCACAAGAAGACACACCAGAGGTCAGTTTCTATTCATTTAGTTCTGAAACCAAGTTGAGGTCTCTGGGTTTTCCCACAGAAACACACAGTACTGATGCATTTCCTCAGCTTGTGTGTGGCTCATTTCACAGCTCTGGGCTCTGAACTCAGAGGTAATCACAAACAACACCTGGAATATGTTTCAAAGGATTCTTAGTACACGACGGCAACAGGACTGTTTCCCAGTCGGATGTTCGTCATGCACTGTTAAGGTTAATTTAGGAGTACCAGACAGGTCACTGAGCAATGAACTGCTCTCATTGACTGCACAGGAAACAATGGTGGCTCGCCTGGTCACACACAATCTCATATTCTAGATAAACTCTAAAATACACTGACCCGCCATAACATTATGAGCACTGGCAGTGATTAACACTGATTATCTGGTTATCAGGTCAGTGGGGGGGATATATCAGGCAGCAAGTGAACATGTTGTCCTCAGAGTTGATGAGTTAGAAACAGGAAAAATGTGAAAGACATCAAATGCGGTCTAAGGAATGAATAGTGTTGAACTGGAGACAGGGTCATGGCTCTTTGATGGACGTGCCAATGCGGCCAATGGAGCCCCCTGCTGGCCTTTACATAGATTGCAGGTTTAGGACACTTCATTTCACAGACCCAGAAGCTCTGTCCATTATATAAACTGTCATTGATCCAACCCCAGCAGCCATTACTCCTCACTTTGAGCAGCTCAGAGAGGCAGTGTGACTGTATCTTTGATCTGACTCCAGGCTACTGTAGTCCAAATTAAGTGAGAGTGAATTCATTCTGCTAACAAACATGTTCAATATCAAAGTCTTACAGACAGGACGTGGAGTAGTGGTGGTGCAAATAAATTAGCTAATTTCCATCTTTTTAGGTCATAAAACAGTTTATAATTTGATTATTCCAGCAGGATTGTGTGTGAAGATGAATGTGAAAGCCTGAGTTTGCCACTGGTACACTCTGACTGCCATTTCAAGGTGGTGACAAACTTGGAAACTGTACAATATAGAATATTGGCTTTCATTGACTCACAGCTGGATCTCTCTATTGACTCCAACAAGACTGTGTCCACCTTGATAACCCACACAACTGTCTTCTGAATTACCCACAGCTACATTCAGACACATCAGAAGTTATCAGCTCAGACACTGAAGAGCTGTTAATAATGTTTGACTGAGGTTTCAGACTGTATGTGTTTAATGTGCTCGTAACTTGTTTCTATTTGGTTTAACTCAGTATTTTCCGTGTTTCTTACAGCTGCTTTTTCTCACTATTTCTTTTTCAAGGAAGTTGAATATGATGAAATCCGACCTGAAGACTGTGAGCCTGTGAGCCAACCTGCAGGGGTCTCTACCCTCTACTTCTCTGCAGACCCAGGCAGTCTCTATACTAATTATTCCCACCACCAATATGTGACATATTCAAAAGATGCTTCCAGCTCTGGGGTCAGTTCAGGGGGGGCGAGTACAGAGAGCACATATCACCAGTGTGACTTGATGTATTCTGTTGTTCAACGGCCCAAGAAGCAAACTGAAGCCACTGATCAATCTGAACCACATCAGTCTGAAAGCATTGAGAATGACTCTCTGTACTCCCTGGCTCAGCTACCACAGACAACCTGAGTGTGGCAGCTGCCATCCAAAATGATATAAAGGAACTTTATTGATCATATTGATCTGTTTGGTTGAATTCTTTCATGGAAACATAGAGATATAATGTTAAGTTATTTGTTATTGTTCTTTTATTTTTAGCAAGCTCACTTTGAGGACTGAAACTTGTGTTAGTTGTCTGTTACCTCAACTAAACTTAACTTTCAGGATACTGCAGAAATGTGTGGGGGTGTGCGTCACATGACCAGCACACCATATAGAAACTACAGTAAGTTAGGATGGAGTTCACAGAATTCAAACCATTTGAACTGGTCCTAAATGTTGGCATAAACAAACGTCACCACAAAATTATAATATTAGATCTGATTTGTCAAAAGAGTCAGTGTTGGGAAAACAGTGGGTGGGAAGAGCTCTTGTACAATATCTAATGGAGTGCATGTGTGCAGTTAGTCTGGTCCCGGGACCACACTCATTGTTTTGTTGGTGTGTTGACTCCAATAAAAATCTTGTGCATCAGATTCTAGAGCATCATATTTTTATGACTCCAATAAGTATTTCGAAGGATGTTTTTTAGCAACTGTCGGCAAGTTCAGACCTTTTTCTGAACCAGGTTTGAACATTTTTACCTGACACCAACAAATACACAAACAAGACTTCATCTGAGAATTACAGGTTTTGCCGACTGTTCACACACTTGCAGTTGCAGACTACGAACGTCTACTCACAAGCCAAATAGGAGAAAACACTTACTCACAAAAACATCCCACAATCCCTCTACAAAATGGTATTTTTGAAACAAATGATACACACATGCACTGGAATAAATCCACAAAAATACGGTAGTATCCGGTAAGGTGGTGATACCGTTGGATATGGATAGACACTGCCTATATCCAGGAGATTACAGACATGGATCTTTGACACATTGGAGATTTCCAGATCCTTTTTGAATGACTCTTTCAAAGCAACGACAGACAGATGTTCTTTATACAAAACACTTTGTTTACCTTTTAAATTCTCATACAGGTTTCTGTGAAAGACAGTACAGTATCTAGTCACATTTCAATAAACATAAATATAGAAAGCCTTCAGAAAATCTTCTGCCATGGCAGGTTTTTACCATAACAACAAAAAACACAAAGAAAAGTAGAATAACAGAACAGTAGTCAATATAACTCCAAAATTCCTAAAGAAATGTTGATTGTGCCTTGCTCTGGCCCGTATGTTAATACCACGTCTTGCTCTCTAGCACGCTAGTGCTAGCATATTAATGCCTTGTCATTCTCTTTAGCTAGCTGTGTGTGTGTGTGTGTGTGTGTGTGGGTGTGTGTGATGTGTGGCGTGTGTGTGGGTGTGTGTGTGTGTGTGGTGTGTGTGTGTGTGTGTATGTGTGTGTGTGTGTGTGTGTGTGTGTGTCTGTGTGTCTGTGTGTGTGTGTGTGTGGAGGCAGGCTTTGGTTGTCGTGGCAACCAGGAACCACAGCACTTGAGACTCTTGCGAGAGACAGAAACATTTAAAATGAATCCCCTCGAACCCATGGCCAGGAACACCGAAATGAAAACCAAAAGACCTGAGCGTCGTCATCTTGTTGACTATAGCACTGCCGAGTTTCAGTTCAGGTTCAAGATTCCTCCTCTACATTTAACATGGGAGTAGATGGGGCCGTAGAGGGCGTTGCTGGCGCATCAGTGCGCTCCCGCCAAAACTATTTGTCTGACAGGTTCAGCAGTGGTATCACTGCGACCCCAACGGATTTACCTACGTTTCTATCTATAAATTATTTCTGTAGAGTGACATTTGTGGCCTTGAGAGCAGTTTACAAATTTATTATTCGACTAATTTTTCTCTCCCCTACACTCTAAGTGAATTGGCGTTTTTTCAGTTGGAATTCTCGCAATACACACCCATTCATTTTTGGACCGGTTTTTGGCGATTTATCGGCAAACTGTTTGGCTAAACCTTAGAAAAGTCACAGCACTAATGTTGTTTACCCAAGAGAGACAGCGCGATAGAGGAAGTGGAAAACTACTGCCCTTCATCAACTGTATGGTGATCAGAATGCTGTCGGACTCCAGGTATTGGATGAGCTGCTTGTTTGACCAGTTTCTTAAGACCATTGAGAATGCATTAAATTGAACCTTTGCGTTTACAGATAGCAATCAAAAGTCATTTTAGCATCAGACATTTGAGAGTTGTTAACAGAGGGGACATAATGGGCCTGGATTAGGATGAATCAGAATCAGGTTTATTGCCAAGTAAGTTTTCACATATGAGGAGTTTGCCTTGGTACTTGGTGTTGAGTGATTTGTGTATGAGGGAAGTTTTAGAAGAAAGAGGAAGAAAGATTACAGAAACCAGCAGACAGAGGCCTGGTTGACTGAAAACATCTCAACATGGTGGAAAATGGTTGAGAAACAAAACCCCAAAACCAGAACCAAAGATAGGTCTAGAGTCGCACATTCAGGTTCACATGAGAACAAACTGGACACTTTCTCTTTTGTTAGAGCTCAGTGATGCACGTGGGGAGTGAAGACCGGCCCGTGTGGTCCGATGCAACAGACGAGCTACTGTAGCTCAAACTGCTGAAACAGTTAATGCTGGTTCTGATAGAAAGGGGTCAGAACACACAGTGCAGAGCAGTCTGATGGTCTGGGACCAGTCAGGGAGTCCACTGATCAATATATCAGTCTATATACTGTTAGTGCTGATCAATATATCAGTCTGTATAATGTTAGTGCTGATCAATATATCAGTCTGTATAATGTTAGTGCTGATCAATATATCAGTCTGTATAATGTTAGTGCTGATCAATATATCAGTCTGTATAATGTTAGTGCTGATCAATATATCAGTCTGTATAATGTTAGTGCTGATCAATATATCAGTCTGTATTATGTTAGTGCTGATCAATATATCAGTAACAATCTTTAGGCTAGTGCTGATTGGTGGATATACATACTTTTCTTTTGCTGTTTTCTCTCAACTCCTCTTTATCTAGTCTTATATTTCCATATATATTAATAATGCCTTCCTTGTTTTTTTATCTTTCTTTATTTCCCTTTTCTTTTCTCTCCCCCTTATGCCAACCTTATTGATACTCTCACAAACACGTGCATCATATTCAACCCAGCCCTATCAGAGATAACTACGTATATGGCATTTGTTATTAGTTTTATCTTCGGAGTTCGGTCTAGACCTGCTCTATTTGAAAAGTGTACTGAGATAACTTCTGTTATGAATTGGCCAACAATAGAATTGAATTTAATTGAATCTTCTGTACTATTAATAATTTAAGTCTCATTTGTGTATTGGTTGGTTTGTTCTTTTGAGGTTCCGTTGTTGTTGTTGTTGTTGTTGTTGTTGTTTTGGGCTGTTTAGGGTTTGTTGGGTAATGTTTTATTGTTGTAATATCTCATTTAATATGTTCTGTTACATGCTCTGCAATAAGCGTAAATGCCAAACATGTGTTTAGATTTTATTCTGTTTTTCACTACAGACTGTAGGCTCACACTGATGCGCACAACATGACAGTGAAAATCAAATATAAAAAACAAACTTAATAATTGTCTGAATTGGTTATTTAATAACTTTATTTTTTTCACAAAAAGGGATAAAAAGCAAAACTGAGCAAATATGGGTTATCGACATTTATGCACTATCCTGCAAATCAAGAGAGTTAATAGGCAACTAATACAAAGTTTCAGTTCCTCAAAGTGAGCTTTCTAAATAAATGTGCTGCATCATGGGAATAAGACCAGTTTAGGGCCAACTCTGTACAAGTAAAAGAACAATAAACCAATAACTTTCAGTTTAGGTTAGAATATATATACACAGCTTTTGATATCTCTTATTGATATTAAAAAGGGGCCGTTCGTCGTCAGACTCCACTTGAGGTCATCCTCAAATCTCCGCTACAATACAATGGGACGAAGCTTTTCATCTTTCCGGACCTGACAGCGGAGGTTCTTAACCAACGCAGAGAGATGAAGTCCGCAAGACGTGCAGGGCAGCCGGCCTCCGCTACGGCTTTCTTCACCCGGCTAGATTTCGTGTGACCATGGATGGTGTCACCAGCATCTTCAACAACCCTGATGAAGCAGACCAGTTTCTCCGTGATAAGTTATCTGCCTCCTCGTCTTAAATCAACGGTCACCGGTAAATATTCTGGTCTTATCCAGCGCGGTCTATAATCGCACTTGACCGCAAAATATGCTGTTCTTTGTATGCCCTTTTTTCTCTCTTAAGGGATGAATATGTACTTTCAATAGAGTCTTTCGAGTGGAGCCTGGGAGGGAAAGGACGATGCCTACGCACCAATGGACATTAGGGAAGTTTGAAACGGGTTTCAGTTGGGGAAGCCTGACGCGTTTAAAGGGGTGGGGGGGTAAGGTGTTCAGGGCGTTCAAACTGTTCATGTTTTATGTTGGTGGTATATAATGGACATGACATGTTATGTTAGGATGTTGACAGAGAGAAAGCATGTTGGTGAGGTTATGAATGGCACATAATCCTGGGTAATCCGGTGAAGAGGGCTAAGGTTCTTACTCATCTTAAATCATTGAACCCTGATGTTGTTTTATTACAAGAGACTCATGCCAAACGCTCGGTCCAGATGGTGCTACGTGCCAACTGGCTAGGCCAGGTGTATCAGGCTAATTTTGGAGCTAAGGCCAGAGGAGTGGCAATTTTGTTGAGGAAGAACATACCTTTTATTCAGAATAAGACAATAGCAGATCCCAATAGTCTACTTCTAGTAGTGTCTGGCTGCCTGTGTTCCACTCCAGGGACTTTTGTGAATATATATGGTCCAAATGCCCCGAGTTCTTTAGAGATGTATTCAACTGTATCCCAAATATAAACCAAACAAATGTCATTGTCGGGGGGGATATGAATTGTGTTCTCGATGTAAGATTGGATAAAAAATTTTTAACTAAACTAAACTAAACTATTTAAGCAAAATTCTAGCTAACCGTCTCAATAGTCATATTTCCAGAATCATTCACCCAGATCAGACAGGATTTATCCCTAATCGACATATATACTTTAACATGAGAAGACTATTAACATATTATATAGTCCTCTTCATGACACGGAAGATACAGTTATAATATCCCTCGATGCCGAAAAGGCTTTCGACCAGGTAGTATGGCCATATATGCTGTCTGTATTGGCAAGATTTGGATTTGGCAATTCTTTCATTAAATGGATCAAGATTTTATACAAGGAACCCATGGCCTCGGTAGTCACAAACCTAAATAAATCTGGTCCTTTTCGGCTATATAGAGGAACACGCCAAGGGGATCCTCTGTCTCTATTTATCTTTGCTCTTGCTCTGGAACCTTTAGCGTCCTATATACGCTCTACCCCCGAAATACACCCTATAACACATCTAGGAATTCAATATAAAATCTCGGCCTACGCTGATGGCGTTATATTATTTATTTCAGACGCCAAAGCCTCTTCATCTCCGCTGCTGAAGCTAATAAATACATTTGGCTCATTTTCAAGATACAAGATAAATTGGGGGAAAAGTTAACTAATGCCATTGTCAAATCAAGTCACAAGGAAGTTGAGTCAGCTACTACGACATAACTGGGATGAGAAAATTGTTCAGTTGGAGAGGAATATACAGTTCTGGAACACCTTACCTATATCAATGGTAGGGCCTATTAACGCCATCAAAATGGTGGTCTTGCCGAGGTTCCTTTATATATTTCAATCAATCCCAGTATGCATCCCTCAAAATCACTTCAGACAGCTGGATTCAATTATATCATCTTTTTACCTACCTAGTATCCTAATACCTAGGGTCTCGAAGAAACATCTTATTAAAAGTCGGGGGAGGTCTCGGCCTGCCTCAATTTAAATCCTATTACTTGGCTGCACATTTGAATATTTTTTTGTTTTGGTTGGGGTGTTTACCAGGCAATAACCTGGAGGAGATGCTTGCGTGGTTACAAATTGAACACCTCTCCTGTCAACACACCTCTCTACCAGCACTCATTAATAGCCCAGTAAAGATTAAAAAGCACTTGTATAATGATAACCCGATAATTTATAATTCTTTAAAGATATGGAAGCAGGTAACAACAACTCTGAAAACACCCAAAGTTTATTTGGATTCTCCTATTTGCTGTAACCATGCATTTAAACCTGCACTGGATGATGTAGTTTTCTCAAACTGGAGAGAGAAGGGCATTATCACTTTGAGAAATGTGTATATTGAGGGTCATTTGGCCTCCTTTCAGCAGATACAGCGGGCGTTCCAGCTTCCCATTTTTTTCGTTTCCTACAGTTGAGACACTTTGTGAGAACTCATGTTCCACAATATGAACATAAACCTCAGCATGTAGGATTAGATAGTTTTTGTCAAATCATATACAAGAGGGGCTATTTCTAAACTCTATGGAATCATACAGAATGCGAAAAACACATTGTTAGACTCATTTAAAGAGGCTTGGGGGAGAGAATTGGATGGGGAAATCTCAGATGAGATGTGGGAGAATTGTATTAAGAACATCCATAATAGCTCAATCAATGCAAGACATAATTTGATACAATTCAAGGTAGTACATAGACTACACTATTCTCCCTCCAGATTGCAGAAAATATTTCAGTTTAAGTGTCGAAGTGAGGAAAGGAACACTATCCCACTTATTCTTGTCATGTCATAAACTACAATTATTCTGGGGCTCCTTGTTTGAGTTTTTCACTAAGGCCTTTAATCATCCATGTAACCCAGACCCATTCACCGTATTGTTCGGGGTGGCCAATCCAGATAGTGTGAAGAGTAGTTGTGAAGCCAAGGCTATTTCCCTTTCAACATTGTTAGCCAGAAAGCTAATTTTACAATCTTGGAAATCTGAAAGATCTCCTACATTTGAAATGTGGTTGAGAGAGCTGGGAAATGTATTACACTTGGAGAAAATCAGGTACATTATGTCTGGTAAAGAGGAATTTTTAAAAAAAATCTGGCAACCTTTTCTCGATTTAATGTCTAAAAACTGAACTGCTATTCTGTCGCAGTGCCATTATCTTTGTCCTATGTCCTGTTTGTCGCATGTCAAAAACCCCTGTCAAGTAACCTGTACTGTAACACCACCAACTATGGGTAATATGTACCTACTTCTTTGTTATGAAAACAATAAAAATAAATACAAAAAAAGAAGAAATGAGAAAAAACTGCATCATTAATAACATAAGTTAAATTATCTAATGTATTTTTCATTAGTAGTATTGTGTGTAATTATTCAGATTCACATTTCTTTTAATATGCCTTTAATCATCCACCAACCACCTGTTTGAGACATCCACCGAAACAGATTTCTGGTTCCGGTGTTTAAATGAACACACCACAACAGATTTTCTTACCAGCTTTTTCAGTTTGTTGTCTTGACAGGAGAGTTTGGGGATTCAAATCTGGAATCATAAAGTTTAATACAGCAGTACTCTTTCAATATGAAACCACCTTGTTGAGTAAAAAAAATCCTGCACTTAGGGGCTAAATTACTTTTCTCAAACTCAATCAATAAGAAGAAAGATGTATGACTTTTTATTACTGAAGAATAAAATAATATGTTGTTTATCATTTGCTTGACTATTCATATTGGATTATATCTCTACATTTCCATAAAAAATATCAAACAGATGATCAATAAGTTCCTTTTTATCATTTTGGATGGCAGCTGCCACACTCAGGTTGTCTGTGGTAGCTGAGCCAGGGAGTACAGAGAGTCATTCTCAATGCTTTCAGACTGATGTGGTTCAGATTGATCAGTGGCTTCAGTTTGGTCTTTGGGTAGTTGAACAACAGAATACATCAAGTCACACTGGTGATATGTGCTCTCTGCACTCGCCCCCCCTGAACTGACCCCAGAGCTGGAAGCATCTTTTGAATATGTCACATATTGGTGGTGGGAATAATTAGTATAGAGACTGTCTGGGTCTGCAGAGAAGTAGAGGGTAGAGACCCCTGCAGGTTGGCTCACAGGCTCACAGTCTTCAGGTCGGACTTCGTCATATTCAACTTCCTTGAAAAAGAAATAGTGAGAAAAAGCAGCTGTAAGAAACACGGAAAATACTGAGTTAAACCAAATAGAAACAAGTTACGAGCACATTACACAGATACAGTCTGAAACCTCAGTCAAACATTATTAACAGCTCTTCAGTGTCTGAGCTGATAACTTCTGATGTGTCTGAATGTAGCTGTGGGTAATTCAGAAGACAGTTGTGTGGGTTATCAAGGTGGACACAGTCTTGTTGGAGTCAATAGAGAGATCCAGCTGTGAGTCAATGAAAGCCAATATTCTATATTGTACAGTTTCCAAGTTTGTCACCACCTTGAAATGGCAGTCAGAGTGTACCAGTGGCAAACTCAGGCTTTCACATTCATCTTCACACACAATCCTGCTGGAATAATCAAATTATAAACTGTGTTGTCTCTTGCTCCTGTTTCTTCTTTTGGTATTTTGAAGCTCTACTTACAATCTTGTTATGTTCCACCAACGCGAAATGCGAATACTTGTAATTTTTCTCCCGGTCTTAAGATTTTGTTCAGGAGTGCATTTTAAGTTCCGTTGAAGAGGGGTGGAGGTAGGGTCACATTTGAGCATTTAAAAGTTTACTTGAAAGTAATGCAATAGTTACTTTCTGAAGTAACTAGTTACTTTTATAATTTGTAACTGAGTAACTAATTTGGTTACTATTTGGAAGAAGTAACTAGTAACTGTAACTAATTACTTTTTAAAAGTAACTTGCCCAACACTGGTAAAGATAAGATTGTCAGACTGAGGATAGAAAACAATAATCACACTGCAGCTAAGACTTTTTCTTTTTTAACCATTAACTTGAAGAAGATTCCTTAAACTAATTAGACTTTGATATTTTAGCTGAATTAATTTCCTTTCACTTGGACTATAAATCTCTAGTTTCAGTCTTCTTCCATGCAACCACACACAAGCTGAGGAAATGCATCCGTACTGTGTGTTTCTGTGGGAAAACCCAGAGACCTCAACTTGGTTTCAGAACTAAATGAATAGAAACTGACCTCTGGTGTGTCTTCTTGTGGTCTCTCAGCACTTGGCACACCTTCTGAAAACATGAAGACAATTGTTTATATGTCTGGTGGAGGCTGACGTTGCTGATGTTACCACATATACGCAGTGTGTGCAGTGGATTGTGGGTCTTACTCAGTTGTTTCTTTGTCGTCTTCCTCATGAGCTTCAGTAGGACCAGCAGTATGGTTAGTATAACAGTGACACCCAGAATCAAATATGGTACACTTCCTGGCCAGAGAAAGAGGAAGAGGAAGATAGTCACACACAGCACAGCTTGCTCCTCACATCCTCTCTGCTGTACATGAATCTATTAATGATCTTAAACTTGCTTTGCACCAGACGTGTGAATACTGATCAGTGATGGTTGTCAGAATGTAAAGCTGTTTCACACTCACTTTAATAACACATTATATTGTACAGCAACTTTAAATATATGGATCTTTATTCACATCATTCATTATCATTAAGTTATATTTCACCACCTGGATGTTCATACTGGATTCATTATTTATAATATGCATTGCAACGTCAGTTAACATTAAAATATATGTCTACATCAGTAATATACTGTATGTGTGAGTGCAGACGATACCCAGTCCTTGTGTTGCTGATGCAGTAGGTGTTGTTGTATAAAGGGTCGTATATGACGCAGACAGATCAGTAATACTGTCTGAGCTGCTTGAAGACACTGTGGAGCTCTTTGTAACAGCAAATGATTTTGGAGTTGTCTTGGGAGTGGAAGACTCAGCTGGAAACAACAGACACAGTATTTATTAATCTGACAACTAGTTGGACAGTAGTTTTTGACAAAGGAGAGGTATTTAAAAATATAAATGAGGAGCATAAACTTACCATCTATGACTTTAAGATTCACCTCTATATATGAATCTGGGCCAGGTCTCTCCACTGCACAATAATATTTCTTAGAGTCTGACTTTTGGAGATGAATGAAGGTCACAAATAAACCTTCTGCACTGTTAGTTAACTCTATTCTATTCTTACGTACAGTCTCTTTAAATGCTGCTTTGATGATGGCTCTTGAGCATGGATCAGCACAAAGATACTTAACATGATATTTTACATTAGTCCAACCGTTCCAGTCGGAGCATTTGAATGTAACATTTGTTCCAACACGTCCATCTATGTTGAGCGGTTTCACCACCACAACACTCAGAGCTACACGTGGAAATAAAGGAAACATTGTTGGTCATTGTCATAATGTCAATGCATGAATGAATTCTTTTAATATTGATCCACTGAATTATTTGTGATGGTAAAACTTCACTTTTACAAAAAGTGAACCACTAAATGACTCATTTAGCAAACACACATATAAAAATGTATCTAGCAGCATTTGTACACAAGCTGCAGTCGGTACAAATACAGAGAATATAAAAAGATAAACTCACCAGAAAGAAGACAAGAGTACACATAGATTGTTATCATTCTGAAAGTGACGAGTAAAGAATAAAGAGCAAGTGTACAACAATTATCAGGTCAGTCCAACCACAGTCTGTAACTTCCCCTTTGTCTCACCCTTAGGAGCTGAAGCTCCTCCCTTTCCTTTAAACACACACACACACACACACACACACGCGCACACACACACACACACACACACACACAAACACACACGCACGCACGCACGCACACACGCACGCACGCACGCACGCACGCACGCACGCACGCACGCACGCACACACACACACACACACACACACACTGCATAACACACTGTTAATGTCCACTGCTAATGTACAAAACAGCAAACAATGCCCATAAAATAGGAATATATTATTTATTCAGAATACAGAGATAGATATACAGATATACAGAGAGTATTCATACAGGATGCAGTGTGAGGATGTGAATTTAACACCTAAAAACCACAGGTGTGCAGCACTAAGTGTGCTTGACCACATACAACTGAAGTCTGCCAGTATGTGTAGATGCTCCAAGTTTAAAAACTCTACAAACATTCACAGCGTTCTTAATGAAAATAATTTCTTATTTTACAGTTTAAAACCATATTAAACTGTCAACGTGTAGCAGACTGTGTACAAAGGGCTCACATCTCTCCATAAAGAGAACCAATCTGCCATTAAGGTTAGCAGCCGCAAGAAGTCATTGTTATTGATTTAGTTTTACATCCTTTCATATGATGGTGAAGCAACAGCTCCTTCTGCAGCACTCAGTCAAATCTGTGACTTAGCTGTGGAGTCACAGACGCCTCTGGTGGGTGAGACAGTGCTATAGACCTGGTCTTCATCCATCGTAACTGGGTGGAGTGATCGGTAGACTCCATCAGGACCTGCACTCTGTTCACAACATGTTTGTTATCAGACTGGTACCAAATAAGACGTCTACAAAGGCCGTACATTAGCAAAAAGGCACTGAGGTTGGGAGCTACAAGCCAAAGAGGAAAATATACACATTTTCCATTTAGGTAAGAAAAAGTTCTTATCATGCAAAGGGAGTCAAATACCATAGCAGCAAACAATGAAAGTAATGCTGAGAGAGAATGATGAGTGAAGTAGGACAGACAGTTACACAAGCCTGAAAGGTTTCTTACAAAGTAGTTTGTATTGTACATGCAGGAGAATTAAACAGCTGAAAGTATTCATACAATATTTAGTATATGATAAGTTGGTTTATCATAAAACTGTATTCTCTGAGTGTTAGAGAAATAAAGAGCACAATATGATAGCTGATAAGTATCATCTGTAGACATTTTGTCATCTCTGCAGAGCTCAAGATATCAGTGAAATATGTATGTTCATTATGTTGATGATTCATTATTCACTGTTAGAATTATGTTGAACCAATAAATATGTTAAAAAGAGAAATAAAATATCTACAAATCTATATATACAGCTCTGGAAAAAGATAAGAGACCACTCAATTTTTTTCTTAAATCAGCATCTTTACATTCAGCCATTTCATTCAAGTGTCTGTTGAATTCCAACACAAGCACACCTAATTTTAGTTAATGCAACCTGAACCAAATCTTATTTAAGAAGGAAAGTATAAAAACTACTGCTGTGGTCCACTATCCTCTTACAATAGGACCAGCTGGATGGCAAAAACAGTGCTAGTAGTACCTGAAAGGTAATTCAAATCAAAAAAATGTATTATACTATTGATCTTGCCAAAAGAGTTTAAAGTAAATGTTTTGAGTGAGGAAAAGGAGGTTTAAACTCTGACTTTACTGGCAGAACGAAACAGTCAGCCTCAGGTTGCTTCCATTCTGAGATATTGGGGACAACATAGCTACAGACCGAGGGGGCGAGAATGACTCTCCACTGACCGGGATCACCGCCAACTCATTCGTATGTCACTCAACAACCATAGGATGACTTTAAGTGACCTTCAAAAAGAATGGCGAATGGCAGCTGGGGTGAAGTGCATGGCGAGAACTGTTTAAAACAGACTCTTAATGACAGGGCTGAAGTCGTGCAAAGCTAGAAAAAGCCCTTCATCAATGAGAAGCAAAGAAGAGCCAGGCTGACATGAACTCCATTGAAAACATCTGGAATGTGATCAAGAGGAAGATGGATGGTCACAATCCATCAAACAAAGCTGAGCTACTTGAATTTTTGCACCAGGAGTGGCATAAAGTCACCCAACAGCAATGTGAAAGACTGGTGGAAAGCATGCCAAGACGCATGAAAGCTGTGACTGAAAATCAGGGTTATTCCGCCAAATATTGATCTCTGAACTCTTCCTAAGTTAAAACATTAGTATTGTTTTGTTTAAAAATGATTATGAACTTGTTTTCTTTGCATTATTTTAGGTCTGAAAACAAAGTATCTCTTTTTATCATTTTGACCAGTTGTCATTTTCTGCAAATAAAGGCTCTAAATCACAATATTTCTATTTGGAATTTGGGAGAAATGTTGTCAGTAGTTTATAGAATAAAACAAATATTCATTTTACTCAAACACATACTTATGAATAGTAAAACCCAAGAAACTGATCAATTTGCAGTGGTCTGTTAATTTTTTTCCAGAGCTGTATCTTCAGTGTTTCCAAGAAAAAGTTAGTAGACAGGTGGCAAAAAAGTGTCCTTAAGAAGAGGGAAGTCAAAGAACAGATAAGACACTGCTGGAAACTCTTTGGTTGAGTGACATGATCAGTAAAACCTCACTGTAGCAATGCATTTCAGTGAAGACATTTTAGATGTATGATTGTTTTGTTTTGATAGTTTCTCCTTCATGCTTGGAAAGGGAGGGTGAAGTGAGGGAGTAGTAAAAGTTGATCTACTCAATCCTAAACAGCATGAACATAAGAAACGACAAAGGAAAACTAGGGGCAGGATTCAAGCTGTGTCATTGCTGTCCAGCACAGAAAGCCGTACACATGGTTAAAGATTCAAAATGGCAAAACTCACCTCTCCTGCATCTTCTGGTGGGGTAACAACCACTGGAAAACAATCAGGGCAGCATTTGTTAACTGACTGGTCAAAATAATGTTCATTGGAGGATATGTAATACAGTTAATACGGTACAGTGGTGGTCCTGGATGTTTTGGTGGCCCAAGCAAACTCTTACGTTATTTTATTATAGGAATTTGCAACTCCAGATCTGAGCCAGTGCCTTGCTCAAGGACTGACTGGAGAATGAACCTCACATACATGTTAATGGTGGGGAAACTGGAGCACCCAGAGGACAACATGCAAACTCCACACAGAAAGGCCCTGCCCCACCCGGGATTCGAACAAGGTTGTGAGGCGACAGTCCTAACCACTGAGCCTCTGTGCCGCCCAGAAGGCTTGTGCATGCTTTTATTTCTGGTCGGCTAGATTACTGTAACGCTCTGCTCAGAGGAATATCTGAAAGGCAGAAGACCTTACATGCACTGGAACCAGTATCTCTCTGACATTCTTGTGAGCTATGAACCAGCAAGACCCCTCAGGTCGTGTGGAACAGGTCTTCATGATAACCGGTTAATCCGGCAAAATATTTAATTGTCGCCTATTCCACGGACTGCCACTGTATACAGTTGGTTTATGTGTCTTACTCGGTTGTTTCTTCATCATCTTCCTGGTAAGCATCAGTACAAGCACTCCAAAGATTATAAAAGGTAAAACCAGAAGCCAATAAAGTGAATTTCCTGGACAAAGAGAGAAAAGGACAAAGGTTAAGAGGTCATACAGCTGCTCACATCAGTTCAGTGACTACTAATAATTTGTGATTGACCTGAAAACTGAAGGTACAGATAAAGATGTTCTAAATGAAATAAAGTTTGGGTATTCTGCAGTCTGGAAAAGCAGACAGGAGATGTACTACTGTGGACATTTTTTTTTTTATTTTGTTGGGTTGTTATGTTTTTTAAAGGAGGTCCCCCAAAATTTTTTTTTTTTTATTTTAAATTTTAAAAAAAAAAATAAATTTTTTTTTTAAGCGGGGGGGGGTGGGGGAGCCTCCTCAAAAAAAAAATTTTTTTTTTTTTTTTTAAAAAAAATTTTTTTTTTTTGGGTTTTTTTTTACAAAAAAAAAAAAAAAGTTTTGTTTTTTTTTTTTGTGGTATTAAAAGGGGGGGGGGGGGGGTTTTTTAAAGTTGGGGGGGGGGGGGGGGGGGGGCCCCCCAAAATAAACCCTGTTTAGTATAATTTAGTTAATTTTACTTTATTTTTTATAAAACATATTGTTAAAAAATATTTTTTTTTTTTTTAAAAAAAAAATTTTATTTTTTTAATAAAAACCCAGAAAAGAACACTGTATTACACCACAGAATCAGCTGTTTGGGTCCAAAAGTTGCAAGATCAGACTGAAATAAAACTTCATGTTGCTAAATATGTCAAAGTTGGTGCACGCTTGTGTTTCTCAGGACTGTGCTGCTGTAACTCTGACCCAAACAGCTGGTCTGCAGTGTAACACAGGCCCATGTGTACAAAGTTCTATGATTATTGCCAAAGAAAGAGGCAGTCAGTGAGGAAAAGTGGTGAAAATACCTTACTATAACATATAATAACATTTTATGTGGCTAAAAGAAGATTTTCTACAGCAGTGCGTTGCTGATACAAAACCACCTCAGAATACCTGAACTAAGTTTATAAATTAAATAGATCAAGATTAAGTTCAGGGGTTCAGGGTGCACTTCATACCAGCAGTAGGTGACAGATCAGTAATACTGTCTGAGCTGCTTGAAGACACTGTGGAGCTCTTTGTAACAGCAAATGATTTTGGAGTTGTCTTGGGAGTGGAAGACTCTGTGAAAACAACAGACACAGTATTTATTAATCTGACAACTAGTTGGACAGTAGTTTATGTGGTAAAGAATTTTTCTGCTGCCCATCTACAGCATTTCATTGCTCTGCTTCCCTGTCTGCCTGACCCCTGACCTTTTACTGCTGTCTTGTATCTGTAAAAGTCTTGATGAACATACGTGTGTTTACTATAAGACTGCTTTGTGTCAAGAATTTGGAACCTTATTGAGGTTTTCTATTAACTATTAGCTATTTTTATTTTTTATTTAATGTCTCAAAAGCTTGATGTTCATACTGTCGTTGCAATGGACACAATATTTACACCCTGAATTTCAATTAAAAATGTAACATATGTATGGTAAATGGACCTGTACTTGTATAGCACTTTTCTAGTCTTCTGACCAGTCAAAGTGCTTTTACACTACAGCCACATTCACCCTTTCACACAGCGCTCTACCTCTGAGCCACAGCCACACCAAAGTTCAACTTTAGATGAGTGTGCAGTTCATACCAGCAGTAGGTGTTGTATAAAGGGTCGTATATGACGCAGACAGATCAGTAATACTGTCTGAGCTGCTTGAAGACACTGTGGAGCTCTTTGTAACAGCAAATGATTTTGGAGTTGTCTTGGGAGTGGAAGACTCAGCTGGAAACAACAGACACAGTATTTATTAATCTGACAACTAGTTGGACAGTAGTTTTTGACAAAGGAGAGGTATTTAAAAATATAAATGAGGAGCATAAACTTACCATCTATGACTTTAAGATTCACCTCTATATATGAATCTGGGCCAGGTCTCTCCACTGCACAATAATATTTCTTAGAGTCTGACTTTCGGAGATGAATGAAGGTCACAAATAAACCTTCTGCACTGTTAGTTAACTCTATTCTATTCTTACGTACAGTCTCTTTAAATGCTGCTTTGATGATGACTCTTGAGCATGGATCAGCACAAAGATACTTTACATTATATTTTACATCAGTCCAAACGTTCCAGTCGGAGCATTTGAATGTAACATTTGTTCCAATACGTCCATCTATGTTGAGCGGTTTCACCACCACAACACTCAGAGCTACACGTGGAAATAAAGGAAACATTGTTGGTCATTGTCATAATGTCAATGCATGAATGAATTCTTTTAATATTGATCCACTGAATTATTTGTGATGGTAAAACTTCACTTTTACAAAAAGTGAACCACTAAATGACTCATTTAGCAAACACACATATAAAAATGTATCTAGCAGCATTTGTACACAAGCTGCAGTCGGTACAAATACAGAGAATATAAAAAGATAAACTCACCAGAAAGAAGACAAGAGTACACATAGATTGTTATCATTCTGAAAGTGACGAGCAAAGAATAAAGAGTGTACATCAGGTCAGTCCAAACACAGTCTGTAACTGCCCCTTCGTCTCACCCTTTCAAAGGCTGAAGCTCCTCCCTTTCCTTAAACACACACACTGAAAATACAGCTATACAGAGAGTATTCATACAGGATGCAGTGTACAGGTGTGACCTTAACAATAAAAAACCACAGCTGTGCAGCACTAAGTGTGCTTGGCGACATGCAACTGAAGTCTGCCAGCATGTGTAGATGAATCAGAATCGGCCAACTACATCCGTCAGTTTAGACCACTCAGATAGTTAATAAATCAATCAAAGTTGTGACTTTCTGTCCTGGATACACAATGGTGGAACCAGCTCCCCGCTGACAACTTGACTGTGCCAGATGGCTCGTTACACAGAACCATCCAGGAAGTCAAAAAATACACAGCAGTTGATTGGGTAAACCATCTGTCATCATCTATCCGGATATTGTTGAGAGGTGGACTCTTTCAATGAGAGAATGGCAGAATGTAGTGGACGGGGCCTGAGCCATTTGCAGCCCAGTAGGCAAACGAAAGGGTCTTGAATCAGATTCATGCAATCACTGGTAGCCGGTGCAGGGTGCAGAGGAGCGGTGTACTGTGGGACAACTTGCATAAGTTGAAGACAAGCTGGGTGGCTGCATTGTGGATGAGTTGCAGAGGTCAGCCAGGAGAAGAGTCGCAGTAGTCTAGGCAGAAGATGACAAGAACCTGGACCAGAGCCTGTGCCGCTTTCTGGGTGGCCAACGGACGGAGCATGAATCTGCACAAGCATGTAGTTGCAGCAAAAGACAGCTGGTCATCCAGTGTCACACCAAGCAAGGGCGTAGGAACCGGGGGGAACGGGGGGCACGTGTCCTCTCCAATATTAGAGACAGGCGCATTTGTCCAACCCAAAAATTATACCGATATTTTGAAATCTTTAACTCACTTGCTTTTATTTTGAAAGCGCCACACAGCGTCTTGTCACCGGCCCGCCCGAGTGGTGACAGGTCAGAGGTTAAGACGAAAAGACAGTCGGATTCCCCTGGTCCGCACCAGCTCTACGGCGAAAACCCCCGCCCAACGACACACGAGGCGCCGCGGACGAGGGCCCCAGCGGCGGAGAGAGGAGGGCGACGGGGCGACTGCTCCCCCAGCCGCGGCTCGAGCCCAGCCCCGCTTCGCACCCCAGCCCGACCGACCCAGCCCTTAGAGCTAATAATAGAGAGAGCTACCGGTAGTCAATGCCGCAACACAGCCTCGTACTTCGGGAAACTGGTGGTGTACCTGCGGACATTGTGAAGCTATGGCCACTGAAGAGGAGTGGCTGTGTTGGGGCAGTGTTTTGTACAGTGTGAAGATTTCCCCTCTATGATAAACAGAGCTGCACTTGAAACTTTTTTCCATGTCCCGAAAATAAATTGGAGGCGGCGACTCATACCGGAGGGACCAGATGGACAGTTATCCACTGTATAAGTACACTAGAGGAGTTATGTTTTATATCGGTGCGATTATTTCTGATATATTGATCAAATTCGACTGGTCACGTGACTGTTTTCCCAAGATGGCGCCCGCCTGTATATGTGAACGCTACTGTTGTTCTAAACTCTCTTTTTAATAAACTGTCTGTATACTTACAACATTCTCAATGCTTCGGTTTACAGGTAGGGGCCCTCATTATGCTACCGTGTAAGTGTGGTGCTATATTGAGTCTTGTTAGTGGTATAGAAATAGATTTCTTTTCACGTTACTCTGTGCCCCATTGACTAGCGTTATAAGCTAATTAGAGGTTTGTGCTAAAACTGGTCACGTGCGATTAGAATGAAAACATATCCCAGAGACCGAACCAACTCGGTACACATGTGTTATTAACCCCAGGTTCATTTTGCACCGGAACTGTCCTTTAAGATGATCGTAAAAGAACATGATTTTTCCATATCCTGACCCATGTAACCAAGTAACGTTACACAGCTCCCACATCTAGAAAGGAGTTAGTCTGTCTGTGTGTTTTTTGCTTGTTCTTGACATTCCCATCAGTATTTTTCTATACCTTATTCATCTCCACTGCTTTCATATTAGAGATCAGATGAAGTTCAGCTGGACACTCACAGTGGTGAGGGTGATGCAGGGAGAGCCAGCACTGCAGAGTTGCAGGTAGGTGCTATATGAAGGGTGAGGTGATTTTAGTTTGTTGATCATAAGAGGAAGGTTTGAGGCATAAGATACAACTAAGAAAAGAATTCAAATTTTGATCAATATTCTTCCCATGTTATTTATTAATCTACAAAACTGGATGACTAGGCCTGCAATTAAAGAATTGATTTGATATTTATCAGTTCATTACTGCCATTCAAAATGTGTTTTCCTTTACTTTTACAAATGTATCTTTTTAGTAGAATAAAATATATTTGTGAATGTTTTGTAGTGTAGTTAATTTATGACATACTTCTGTTCAAACCATTAACGGATCTGTCAGGTTTCCGATATGTGTCCCCCCCAATGTTAAACTCATTCCTACGCCCCTAACACCAAGGTTCCTTATAGTTTGAGTCGAGGACACCACAGAGGAACTCAGTCTTTTCTGTTTACAGTGGTTTTGTTTTTTAGTTTCTTGTTGTTGCATTGTGTTTGACTGACTGAATATAACTTAAAAAAGATATGAAATATCTGGACAGTTTTACAAAACAAAGAGAGGCTTTAATAATTTTAATTTCATGAGAATATCAAACTGTGTAATATATTGAATGCTTAATGTGATCTATTCAAAACTAACAAATATATTGAAGTTCTGATACATTAAAGGGGACATATTATGCAAAACCAACTTTTTAATCGATTGATTACGTACATTTGGGACTCTGGAGGGCCTATCAGCAGGCAAAGTGTGAAAACAGATGACTCAGTAATTTGTTTGTGGGGTGCCTCGGTCAAAATACCGGAGATAAAGCAGTTAATGTTGACTTCGCAGGGAGTGTGGCGTCACATTCCCTGATTGCGAACTTTCACCGCGAACGTTGCCTAGCAGCGCTCCGCCATTGTCGGATAAAAAGGCGAGAGTGCGGCGAGGGAGCAGAGGAGCGGAAGAGCGGCCCTATGTCTGAGCAAAAGTATGCTAACTGTTCTGTTCCTGGCTGCACAGCCCAGCACAGAGCTCTACATAGAGTCCCAGCCTCAGAGGATGCAGGAGTCCTGTGGATACAGTTTATATATGACGGCAATGTCCTGGCTCGGGTCAACAAAACAATTTATGTCTGTTCGAACCACTTCGTGATGGACTGTTTTCTGAACCTCGGTCAGTACAATGCTGGACTGTCCCAAAAACTGTTGCTGAAAGGGGGAGCAGTACCAACTGTCCGTGGCAAAATGGCAGAGGAAGAAACTCCAAGTATTTTTAAGAGTGTACGCTTTGTTTTTTGTGTAACGCTAGCAAATGCTAACTGCTGTTAACTGCTGGAGCCTCAGTGACGCTAACGTAACAGTTATTCTGTTTGTTAACATGCATGTTTTTCATCAAGTACTATGCTTGTGTGTGTCGCTGCTAGAATGAGCAGAGACGTGACCTCCGAGCTAACAAACTGTAGCGGCAAGCCTCATCAGCTGTTCCACTCGTTGAACTACATTACGTTACGTTACTTTATGATGTAGCTGGTCGGTACTAAGGATACAAAGTAAAACATTATGAGACAGTATTTGCTTTTACTGCATTACAAATTACTTCGGTAACTCCTTCTTGTTCAGGGTCTGACTCAGGTTCAAACATATATGGTTGGACCACAAAGTTTCCTCCAGTTGCCATCTTTCTCCCAGGGTTCACGTTTAACTGTTGTCATGGTAGCGTGAAGCGTGCCGGCGTCGGAGACAGGCACTCAAACCCGACCGTTCTGAACAGGGCTGCTTTGGCAGGGTGATTGAACTGCTATGGTGCTTCATCCTTATGGTATTTTGACCAAAGCATGTCACAGACATTACATTAGGACACCAGGGAACTAGGTTAACTTGTAGAAATATGGTATAATATGACTCCTTTAAGTATTTCTGATTCTGATACAATTACAGTTGTCCTGAATGAATGTATCCGACTTATTATAAAATAACAGTACTCTGATATTACTAATAAGAAAACATTATTAACTACTAACTACTTATTAAAGTATTAACCTGTATTAAGCAGGTGTGGGAAAAAATGCTGTAAACTAAGAATTATTTCAAAAATATATATAATAATTGTTTATTTGTATCAATTTACAAAATGCAAAGTGAGCAATCTGACTCTGACCTGACTATAATCCTACAAAATCCCTGACTTTGTGCAAGTGTACCTAGAAGAATTGATGCTGTTTTGAAGGCAAAGGGTGGTCACACAAAATATTGATTTGATTTAGATTTCTCTTCTGTTTATTAACTGTATTTTTTTAATTGATGTAAACTATTAACACTTCAATTTCTGAAAGAATTCTTAGTTTACAGCATTTTTTAACACCTACCTAAAACTTTTGCACAGTACTGTATATGTATTTTGAATTGTTCACAGCTCTTGGAAAAATAGTTTATTTTGTATCTTCATATGTTCATTTATAAAACTGTTTACCTGACAGAGTTTTTCCAACAGAGAACGCTGACAGGTTGGTTATTAAATGTCCCAAACACTACATACATGGTTACTATTCTTTAAGAACTACATTTAAAAGAATGAAAAAATGAATTTGTGCAATACAGACACAGTTTATATGTTATACAGACATAGTTCATACCACAAGTGCTGAGGTGTGGCGTTAGGATACAGAGAGACATCTAAACATTAACCCTCCTGTAGATAATTTACACAGTACATGTATGTGAAGTTATAACTGGATTTAAAAAAAACCTCAATTCTAGATCAAGTTTCCTGCTTTACCTTCATGTTGTCTTTATTTCTAACAGTGTAATGAGAGCTGAAGATGAACTTTAGTACAAACACATTCAGTATAAAATGTTTCATACAGAGAGAATGCAGAAACAGTTACATTTATTCAATAACAAAGACATTGTTAATACAGTACTCCCATCAATCCCTGATGAAAGCTACTACACTACAAATTGTTCATGACATATGTATTTGTGACACTGTGAAATAATCCAAAACATCTGACACACGAGAAAAAAAGAGAGAGAAAAAAACACAACTTTTAAAATCTTTGGTACAGTGGCCACTGGGTTGAGCAGTAGTAAGTCACCATGATGAATTTAGGTCCCGTGTGCAACTCTCCATTGTTGTTCATTCTGGAGACTCGTCATTAATTGCCACAGAATGTCAGAGCAAATGCAGGTGTAAGCAAGGTGCAACAGTTAATGTTGAAAATAAAACTAAACTCTTGTCTTTTCAGTTTTTAATGTGGGAACTGGGAGGTACCATCAGAACTTTGCATGACTTCTGATGTGTTGATTCTCCCATCACATTGGGACTCCCTTTAGACTTTAATGTTAACTCCCACCTTCCAGGCTGTGCAGTGGGGGCACAGAACTTCTACTGCAGAACACAGAGAAATGTAATGTCTGTGCAGACATTTTTCTTCATGCTGAGTTCTTTCAAAGTATAGTCGCCCCGACTTGTCCGAGTGGGTGCTTTCTTTTCTGCTGGCAATTTCTTCCTCTTCCACAAAGGCTTGCGCTGGCATGAATGTGTATTTGTGTGTTCTGTAATATTTATGGACCTAGACTGGCAGTTAAAGAGAGAGGCTTATTTAACACATACTGTATATGTAAATATATCTTTTATCATAGAGTGGCTTTGTGGCTTCCTGTTCTTTGGCTTGACAATTGTTTGAGTTGTAAAGTGTTAGACAGAGGCTGACAGCTGCTGTCACACTGAAAGTGTTCTTGTTGGCATTCTGAATGAGCTGAAGTTGTCTGACAGTCTTTTTGTTGAAGACAAAACAAGAAGGCAATTTATATAGTAGTATAGGAGCTAATTTTAATCTAAATGTCTAAATGATCACTGCCATATCCACCATGTTTTTCATAGAGTTTTGTTAAATTACTGACTCAGTGCCTCACTGGGTAGAAACAAATGAATGTGAGTCAGTGTAAAACTTCACAAGTATGTTTTCAGTAGCTAGTAACCTGAAAATAAGAATTGTTGTGTTTCGTTACCCTAGAAGGAGCTGCTTTATCTACAGAGGGAGTGGGTCCTTTTCTACGGCATCCACCATGTTGAGTCACCATGTTTCTACAGTAGTCAAGAGTTTCACAGCCACCGTAGTTTCTCCTACACACTTCTAACGAGAGGATGAGGCGAGGGCGTTGTAATCTGCAACAACACACTGGACCTTTAAGACCTGTCACAGTCACACATTGTGATCTGTGTACTGGATACATTGAACTGTTCAGTTTATAATGAGCAGAGAGGATGAAAACATGTTAATGTGTTACATTTCTTAACAGAACTTTAATGTTGATGTCATATTTTACATTTACATTTACACTAAAATTTGATGAAAGTAAAAGAAACTAATCATAACACTGTAATAAGGTGTGCAGAGTACTGGAAGCAAAAGGATATACAGAAAATCTAAATCACAATAGGAACATTTCTTTTAAACTGCCATTACAAATAAAATCAACCAAAATCTCCAGCCTATGTCTAATGATCAACACAATCACAGATTAAAAGCATAACACTGCAATTTGTGCAGACTACTGGGAGCTGAAAGAAGTCTAATAAATCAAATATAAATCACAATAGAAACAGAATCCATGATTAACATTAAAATTACAGATTAAAGCTCAATATGAAATCTGCCAACAGTTTGTTGTGTTGTACAACATGTATCCATCGTAGTTGTAGTAGATCCTTCTTTAGTGCTCGTCTGATGAACCTCCACCCTTAAGCAGAAGGGGATCCATCTGTTTGGAGAAAAAAAAAATTATGAAATTATGAGAACAGAGGTGTCTACATACTTTTGGCAATATAATGTATATCAGAGTTTGTCTGTCTCTTCTGGCCTAGAGATCAGAATTAGAAAATTATATTTTTAATAATTAAATATATAATATAAATATTTCCGAAAAGGGTGTCATTAGTTGAGCTGAGCACCACAAAGACTTTCATTACCACCTTTCCATAAACAGAGTGTTTACTGTGACTAATGACAGTCTGTGTGTGTATGGATATTATGAATGTAGTTATTTGGGAATTAGGTAATTTATAAATCTGTGTGCTGTTTGATTAGTTGCCAGTGAAACTCAGTGTCAGATTTCAGAGACTTTAGGTCTCCTCGTAATCTCCAGACAAAGTCTTTGTGGGTTTAAAAGGAACAGAAACAGTGTTACCCTCCTACAGTGCAGGGGCAGATCTAGAGGGTTGGCATAGGGTGGCAGTCGCCCGTTTGGTGTCAAATGCTAATTTAGAACCTTTTAAAAATAGCATGTTAATCACAGAGCACGGCTAAACCTTTTACACTACTGTCTATTGTGTATGTTACATTTTCTGTAAAAAACGAAAAAGAGATTGGTAGAAAAAAAAGTTAACATGGAAATTAACATAATTTAATGATCTGTTACAGCCACATTTTAGACTCAGTGAAGTATTTGGAAAAATATCTGATTTGGAAATAAAAGTTTATTCATTTCTTACGCAACCTTTAGATATTTCTATTTAGTGCTCTACTAACGCTATTAGTTCAAATATCTTCTTTATCTTTGGGTTTTTTTAATATGTGATTATTTGCAATTAAATATCAGATATTTCTGCCACCCTCCTCCATCCCATTAATATTTCCCTAGATCTGCTGCTGCTACAGTAACTGACTGTCAGTAGATAGGATGTAAAAAGATTTGGAAGTATTCACCAGTCCTCAATCAGTCTTCATTTCTTCAAGTTGAACTTCTTCCTGCGGCAAAAACTGTTTCGTACAATGAGTCAAAGAAAACATTTAAGAGTTAGAAACATAAAATGAACATGTGTGTGTTTTTGTATTAAAGTGATCTGTAAATAAAACTGCTACTTCTACTTTTCACAGTTTGGTTGTGGTAAAGTGTGCTGATGAAGATAGGCTGAAGGTCATGTGAGAAGATATTACAATGAGCTAATTAGCTAAATCGTTAGGTCAGAAACAGACCGGTGTGGCTGCTGTTGGTCCTGCTGGTCCTTCTGCAAATGCTTTGGCTGCTCTTTCTCTTTCTCCTTCTGTTCCTTCTGTTAGTCCTCCAGCTGTGGTGGGCTGATAAAGGCACAAAAACCCATTAACTATTTCATTTGCAAGAACTCAAATAATGAAAAAATGGGTTTACAGCTGAACAATTTTGTGATACAGAATTTTTTGTTTCTAAAAGTCAAAGAACAAAGTTTTTCTAAAGAAGAAAAGTAAATTACCTCAACAAAAGATTATATGTTGGCAAAAACTTTTTTAGCTTAGTTTGACTTAAAAACTCTCAACTGTTGTGTTTACAGTGCAGTGGTTGTCTATAGGTCTACACTGAGCACAGTTTTGTTTTTAAAGTTTTCACTCTAGTTACTGTGATATGTGTAGGAAAAGCCATGATCATGTCTATTGATGCATCATGACAGTTGATCATTTCTGTAGATTTAACATCAGAAAGACCAAAACCCAAACAGGTAGAAAATAAATGCTATTTCCCACCACCCCACCAGGGGGCATGGTGGGAAACGTTTTTTAAAAGCTTTAAGTTAATTTCATCAATTGTGCAACCAATTTATTTATTTATCCTAATCTAATAAAAATAATGGATTTCATTTATATAGCACATTATCATTTATATTCAGAACTTGTTCTCATCCCAATTTGTCAAATATGACTAAAACTGTCAGGAAAACCACAATAATGAAATACTGCACTGTTGAAAAGATTGGATCTTCTCATGGTAATACTATACATTTAACTGCACTACATTTATTTAACATCAATATCTAGTTACTTTTCAAATTAGAAAACATTTAATGAGCTTATTAAATTCAGTACATTGCCAAAGAATAAAGTCTATTAAAAAATAACTGTACCATATACAGATTTGCATATTGCAACTGTGTATTTAGGATTAGAATCCAGTGGATTAAACTATAAACTCTACAAAAAGAAGTACAATCTAGCCCCAACGTTCTCCTTTTCTGTACTCAGATAAGCCAAATTTTGCCAAGTTATGACCCACCCTACTCTGCTTCTGACTGGCTTATACGTTGCCTTCACTGGTTTGATTGATCAAATTTAGCTGTGACGAGTGAGACTAGTTATGGTAAAGAATATCAGAGAAAGCCAATCAGAGGCAGAGTAATGACCCTGTGATCCTGGGGAAAAAATACTGTGTAAAAAGCAAAGGAGAAAGTTGACCGAGGTTCCGAAAGGGGTGGGACATAGAATGAGTCCTTAGGTCAGACCTGGCTTCCTTGTTCTCTTGCTTGTTCTGTTGATTCTGCTTCTGTTCCAGTTTGTGTTGCACTGGTTGTCTGTAACAAAGTGGTGAGTTATAAAGCAAAATGTAAATGACAAAAACACACGAAGCTCGACATGCAGCCAACTGTTGGTTCTTTACCTGGCCTTTTATTTCAGGTTTTTCTCCAATGAGTTCTTTAGCCACATTAAAACACTTTCTCCAGTCATCTCCTTTTATTTTGTTCTTGATTGCTTCAGTCAAGTTGTCTTTTGCTGCCTTTGTCAGAATCTCTGTCAGTACAGTTTCTTCCTCGTCCAAAATCACTTTGTCATATAGAATTCCTTTGTCGCAACAATCATTACAACGGTCTGTCTTACAACATTCAAAGCATTTCATCCATCCAAATGGTGACATTAAGGCAGCAACACAAAGGGCACAGAAGAGCAGACAGAGGCCGATTAACTGAAAAAGAAACACAAAATTATCACCACACCTGCTATACTTTTATTAAATGAAGATGTAATCAAATTACTGTAACTTATCTCTGGATAAGAATTTTCATTTTCTCAAGACCAACTGTTACCTTTTCCAAGATAATTAATTTATGATCTCAAGAGGACAGATAAAATAATTCCAACCTTGGCTTTTCTCAGCCTCCGTATAACATTACTAGAGGTCGTACAGATAACAGACTGAAGAAAAACTCACCATGGACTTGTTTTTCAGTTCAGCGGTGATTGAGTGTTCCTCGAGTGTCATGTTTATCTTGTTTTTGATTTTGTAGGCTAACTGTGCCTGTTTGTCAGAATGGTCATTGTGACAGCAAACAAACCAGTCTCCATCGATTAACACAGATACAACCCACAGCAGACCGATGAAAGCTGCCTTAACAAAGTTACACAAGAAAACCCAGAAAAATGTGCACCTACATCCCCAGGTTCTCTGAATAGTCTTGTCCAACCAGAGTTGTAAAACTAATACAATAAAAAACGGTAGAGCCATGTATACATTGCAGTCTCGAGCTTGTTGTTGGCATGAGCACTCCAAATTCCTGTCAAGCACAACATTGTGAATAAATATCACAATGATTGCGATGTAGGAGCTGTATTGTTTGAGAGCGAATTTTGGAAAGAAGTTCTTCATCTTTGGTGCAAAGTTTGCATCTGCAGTGAGCTGCTGCTTGAAACCTTTGAATATACTCACAGGAAACCATGCGTTTCCTGTTCGTGGAAGAAATCTGCTGCATGTCTTCACTTGTAAGGTTTGTGTTTCTTCAATAAACACAAATGCCAGGCAGCACACCCTTACCCTGTTCTTGAAAATAAACTTGGAAAGTTTTAAAATTGCAGATTTATTTAAAAAAAAAACAGGAGCATCTTTCATACACTGCATCCCATTGCACTCATTTTGGTTGGTATTCTGTAAACGCTTTCAGTTTGCTTAAACCTCTGCACAGCATAGAGGGCTCGATAAAAATCGGGGTTAGTATACAGCACTAGCATCCATTGCTTCTCAATTGTCACAGCACCGGTGCTAGCTAACAGCACAGGGACACCCGAGGGGTCTAACTTTAAACATTTGTGTTCATCATCATTTCTGCTTTTTGTTGCAAAAGTTGGTGTCAAATAAAATGTCAGTGCAATTGTTTTTATGTAGCATCAATATGTGGATGTTTCTGTAGAACCCTGGATTAGTTTTTATTAGTTAGTTTTATTAGTTTTGTTTTTATTAATTATTATTACAAACTCCATCAAAGTTGTATCTTGTATGTGTCTGTCTGTCTGTCTGTCTGTCTGTGTGTGTGTGTGTGTGTGTGTGTGTGTGTGTGTGTGTATGTTGTCTGTCTGTCTGTCTGTCTGTCTGTGTGTGTGTGTGTGTGTGTGTGTGTGTGTGTGTGTGTGTGTGTGTGTGTGTGTTTTGTTAATTAAAGCCTTTGCACTTTCTGTAATGTTTATGGACCTAGGCTGGCACTTAAATATGAAGAAAGGCTTGACTTTTAGATGTTGAGTGTGGACAGAGAGGCTTATTTAACACATACTGTTTATGGTAGTAAATGTATCTTTTATCATGGAGTGGCTTTGTGGCTTCCTGTTGTTCGGCTTGAGACTTGTTCGGTTGGGACAGCGTGAGCCAGAGGCTGACAGCTGCTGACACACTGAAAGTGTAACCCCGATTATACTGATAATGTTGTTCAGTGGAATACTTTATTTCTCCAACAGCCAGATGATCTCAATCAGCGAGATGATAGGTGATGAAAAGTTTTCTCTTCATGGTTTAGTGGAAGCTCAAAGGTTATTAGTACAGTAATAAAACAAAAAGTAAATGCAATGTGAAACAATGATATAATTCGGTGATTAAAAGTTCATATTTTACCATGACAAACTGATCACAGAGCGCTATATTTATCTCATTTATAGTCCACCATTATCGCAAAGGCAAAAGATTGCAGTTACACATTTTAACCTTCCTGTCCAGGATGTCGCTGTTGTGCCAAATGATCAGAGAGAGCTTTACAGCTAACCACAGCATCAGGACCAACAAATAACAGCAATTATCATTTGAAAGTGCAACAAAAATGTACTCTACTCAAAAATAACTTTTATTCAGGGTTTACTCTGCTGCTGCTGGCCATTTGAGTACTCAAGCGTAATTGCTTTGTGTTACTGTGGTTGCAGTGGGGGCATGAACCCTCCCTCAGATGCTTTGCAGTCATATATTCCAATATAAAGCTACAGATTTATAAAAATCTGCTTCACCATTATGTTGTTTATCTTATTATTATAGTATTATTATATTCATATTTATTTATTAGTTTATTACATATTACTATATTGGTGTCACACATGTTGTTGTTATATACTTTAAATCACCAATAAATTGACATCCTTTTCTTTTACAATACTCTACTCCACATGCCACCTCACAAACATACACCCCTTATCTTAATAGCATATATATCATCGTAACTGTCTCATGTCTTTCAGCTGCATTTGCAATAGAAAACAACAAAACAACATAACTGCAGGCAATATTATGTTGAATCCTCTTTAGAGCCTCAGATTTCGGTTCATTGATAGGAGACTCTGGAATAAAAAACAAATAGAAAAAATGGTCAAAATCCTACTGACACTGATAAAACTAATACATTATTAAATAGACAATAAATACAGCTCAGCTTCATTATGAAATGTTATTTCATCCTCAGTTTATTTCAGCTAATTATTCTGCAACAATTTTTATTTAAAATTGCATATGTCCATTGTTTTGCTTTTTATTTGTAAAGACCATCCACATATATACACTGACGACATGACAGCTCTCCAAAAGTGAAGCCAAACCTTCTCTATCTCCCCCTGGTGGCTGACTGCAGTTTAGCTCATGAAGCCAGCTGCCTCTGTGTTAACAGATGTGACAAAGTTCATACATACACACATCACTGTGATGTATGTTTATCCGTATCATCCATTTGGTTTTAATTAGTTGTAAAAGTTGAGTTGGGCAGGAGTTTATTACTGTGGCAGCATTCCTGATCAGACCTTATTTTGTAGAGACAGACAGACAGACAGACAGAACAAACAGACAGTTAGATATGGATGTATTTACCTCCATCTCATTTGACTGAAGTCCCATTTCTTCCTCCTGCGAATGGTTTCATACAATGAATTTGTTTCCATCCACACTACTTTCCCACAATAATTCAGAATATGTCAGTATTCTACAGTTGATAAGGGTTGTGTAAACATTCCATTAGGATATTCATAATTGGGCATTATTCTTAATGGAGCATTTCCAGATTTAGACATGTGGGACATGGCAATATCATCCAGGTTTTAGGAGCATTCTTTGTACATTACATTTTTCAGCACGTTGTGTTATTTATTGCAGTTCTCCCGTTTGTGGTTAGCTGGAGTAGAGATGAAAATCCAACATTTCTGGCGAAGGAGAAACTCCCCTACTTATAAACAATGTGAGAAACTTGGGTATCAACAGTTTTTTTGTGTATGCGCAAATAATCAGAGGAGTTAACCGGAGGACGAACGGCTGCATGTAAACAGGAATATTAGTATAACATTTATTTTCATGAACCATCTAAACAGCTTAGTAGGGACATTGTCCTTTCAAGTATAAGGGAAGAAACAGAATATTTTAGGAAACTGATAAAAATAATGATGGTCAGTTGAGCAGTGAGCTAATTAACTGACTCATTAAGTCAAAAACATACCTGTGCTGCTGCTGCTGTTGTTGTGGATACTGTTTCTTCTCTTTTTCTCTTCCATTCTTCCCACTGTCGTTGTTGTTGTTCAGAAAGTGTCGGTTCAGTGGATTTCAGTTCTTTAGCGACATTGAAACATTCTTTCCATTTTTTTTCACCTATTTTGTCAATGAAGATCTGGGTCAACGTTTCTTTTGCTGCTGTCCTTAGAATCTCTTCCAGTACATGTTCCTCTTCTTCTAAAATCAGTTTGTCGTACAGAACTTCCCTGCCATAACAAAAGTTGGAGCATTTCCTCCAACAAGCATGCGACAAAAAGGCAGCAAAAATGATCAGGAAGAGCAATGAGAAGCCAAAAACCTGAAAAAGAACCATCAAAGATGGTCATATTATCAGAGAATTATTGTGTTCTTACAGTAATTACACAATGATCCACAGGTTGATCAGTAAGAAAGACCACAGGGAAAATTGAATAGTAATAACTTCAGGGGTAATAAAGGCTGACATGATGTTTATAAAGCAAGAAAATAATCACCTTCGAAAAGTTTTTTAGTTCAGCGATGATTGTTTGTTCCTCAGCTGTAAAGTTGTCCTTATCTCTGCAGGCTAACTTAACCTGTTGCTCAGAGTGATCATTCATACAGCAAACATACCAGTCTCCATCGATGAACACAGATACAATCCACAACAGACCAACAAGAAGTGCCTTAATGAAACACTGGCAAGAAGATCCTAAGGTTCTCTGACTCATCTTGTCCATCCAGAGTATCAAGACAAGGATGGTCACAACTGGCAGAATCAAGTATACATAGCACAGAATCGTTTGTCCTTCACATGTGCATGCCATGTCCCTTTCAAGCAAAACATTGTAAGTAAAAATCCCGATGATGGTGGTGTAGAGGCCAAGTTGATTACAAGCAAAATGGTGCAAGAAGTCTTTCATCTTTGAGGTGCAGCTGGCATCAAATGACGACCTGCAGTTTATTCCCTCTTTACTTATACCATCATGAAACCATCTATATCCTGTTTTTGAAAACATGTGAACAATTGAAAGTACTGATTGGGTTTCTCCAAAACTCAGTCGGAATCAGGTACAGGTGATTAACTTTGGTGAAATCTTGACAGGCAAATCTGCACTGTTGCCCAAAATGTAACTCTCTTGACAGAGCTGGACTTTAAGTCAAACTATGATACGATACTCTCCCAGTTGTGTCCTCAGTTGATTGATACTGTGTACCCTGTGTTCAATGTCGGTGTCTGGCTGCAGTCTATGCTGAAAAATAGTGATACCTAGAAGCAGAGGTTTTGAACCTGGAAGTTAATGTGAACAAACATTGTGATTGGTCCTGCCTGCTAACAAAAGCTGGACTGTTGAGCAACTGTGGATAACGCGGATAAAGGACCAGCTCGTGTCTGTATTTGAAGATCTGGGAATGAGAATGGGCTGTGAAGTGTGTAGGAGAAACTACAGTGGCTAAACACCCTTTCTAGAGCCAGTGTTTGCTTTGTCCATTCTGGGCTACTGTAGAAACACAGCAGTTTAGCTTGATGGTGTCTAGATACATGGAAGCACAACAATGCTTATATTCAGGTGATTATACACGAATTAAACATACCTATGAATATTATATTCCATTCCTGACAATAGATCCTCATAAATGTTATACACTGGACCTTTAACTCATCTGCCACAGAAGCAACTGGCCCCTCAATCTCAAATAAGCTTGCAGCCCTCAACCTGACGCACTGCTTTATGTTTCTGCACATATTCTTCCTCTTTCTGTATTGGTCTTCAAATTTTCCAGCTACCACAAATGTATGCACTGGCACGAATGTGGTGTAACGTTTAAAGATGTGAAAACTCATTCAAAGAGAAGCTGAAAGTCCTATAGTAACCTTATAGTATTATAGTTTCCATCAATAGACATATTTTTATTTAAACTGTGAAAACAAATACACAACTTGCACAAATTCACTTTAAAAAAAAAATATGTAATTTAAAATTATTAAATTAATTCTAAAATAACTCAATTTAAGGGCCCTGCTGGGTTTATATTCCTCAAGGGGATCAGAAATGTATTTTTTGCCAGAGATTACGGAGTGATTTGCAGGACTTTAGTATTTATTAGTAACTGTAAACTGGTGTGCAGATTTAAGAACAGGACTAATGTGGTTACATTTCTTGTTAGCATTCTGAATGAGCTGAAGTTGTCTGACAGTCTTTTTGTTGAAGACCAAACAGGAAAGCATTGCAAAGTCCAGTCTGCTGACAGTTAAGGTTGGACCTCTAATTGCTTCTCTTTGTTTGAGATGATAAACTTTAGCCTTTATGTGACTGCTGAAGCTCAGCTCTAAGTCTATTAAACCAACAAAATTCAAACTTGAGTTCTTGTCTTTTAGCTCTGCAACCAAGCTGAGCTGCAACCTAAATTCTTTCCTCCTTGTTTCCAAATAGAATGATTTTTGTCTTGTCTTTATTGAACGGTCCAGTTTGTAGGAGAAACTACAGACCATATCTAGAGGCAGTGTTTGGTTTGTCTTTTCTGTGCTGCTTAATAAAAACATACTGATGAATATTATAGTTCATTTCTGACAGTAGATCCTCATAAATGTTACACTCTGGAGTAAGGGTCCGATTGATCAGTCACGATCGTAATTGGCCAATATACGCTCTAATTAGTTTGATTGGCGACCTCTAAAAACGTTGATCGAAAGAGCTGATTAGCTTTTTTTATTCCACTGGAAGGTTATATTCAGTCTTTGGGCAGCTAGTGTGTGAGAGACAGAGGAGCAGGTGTCTGCATACACTTCAAACATAAGGCTTTCAATAACCCAGCTATCTGTGATCGGTATCGGCTGATACTGGTTCTAATGGTCAGTGATAGGTGGTCGGCCTCAAAAACAGATTGAGGCCCTCTTACACTGGACCTTAAAGTCCCCATGAAACAGAAATATGAGTGCTATTTGCTTCTGTATGTTAACATGCTTCCTGTAAAAACAAGCAGCCCGGGAGGGAATGTATATTATGCAGGTGTATGCAGGTTTATTAGAAAGAGGAAGAGAAAACTGACTGAGTTTGTTTGACTGAGAACCAAAACCGAAGGAAGGTATTATAGTAGCACTTTCAGGTTCATGTGAGAACAAACTGGTGGTTAATGGAAACCAGCCTTCAATGTCTAAATGTATGATCACTGCCATCTCAACCATGTTTTTCATTGTGTTTTGTTAAATTACTGATTCTGTGTCTCACTGGGTAGAAACAAATGTGAGTCAGTGTAAAACTTTGAGGAGAATCTGTCATGAATAGGATATAATCTTCATAGGTATATTTTCATTTGTGTACAACCTGGAAATTTGATTTTTTTTGTTACCTTAGAATGAGACTTTTGATATGTTACCTGCTACTACACACTGGACCTTTAAGACCTGTCACAGTCACACATTGTGATCTGTGTACTGGATACATTGAACTGTTCTGTTTATAATGAGCAGAGAGGATGAAAACATGTTAATGTGTCACATTTAACAGACCCTTTGAACCTCCTGTACAGAACTTTAATCTTCGTTATCTTTTGATTTACATTTACATTATAATTTGATGAAAGAAAGAAAATGTTTTCATAACACTTGATTAAGTTGTGCAGAGTACTGGTTGCTGATAGAAAGAGTCTAACACAGAAAATATTAATCACAATGAATACAGAATCCATGATTAACATTAAAATTACACATTAAAGCTCAATATGAAATTTGGCAACAGCATGACAACATGTATAAAATGTATCCATTGTAGTTGTAGTAGATCCTTCTTTACGGCTCGCCTGATGAACTTTGACCCGCAGGCACAATTTATTATGAGAACAGAGGTGTTTACATCCTTTTGGCAATATAATGTATATAAGAGTTTGTCTGTCTCTGCTGGCCTAGAGACTGTCAGAATTAGAAAATTATATTTTTAATAACCTAATAAATATTTCCAAAAAGTGGTGTCATTAGTTGAGCTTTCTGGCCAAGCACCACAAAGACTTTCATTAATACCTTTCCATGAACAAAGTGTTTACTGGGAGTAATAACACTCTGTGTTTGTATGAATATTATGAATGTAGTTATTTGGGAATTAAATAATTTATAAATCTCTGGTATAAAACCTACAGTTGCTGCAGTGAACTCAGTGTCAGAGTTCAGAGATCAAACATAATTTTTTAGTTTTAGGTATCCTTGTAATCTCCAGTCAAAGTCAGCACCTCCAGATAAACACTACACCTGATGCAGCAGTGACCTTGCTTAAACATTAAACATTACTGAAAGTGCAAAAGGCTTTAGTTGGCAAAAAGCATGATAATGTTGTCAGACAGATCAGACAGTCATCAAAGTTTTCTCTTCATGGTTTAGTGGAAGTTTATTAAGTATAGTAATAAAACAAACAGTAAATGCAATGTGAAACATACAATTCAGTGATTAAAAGTTATCACTGAGAGTATGTTGATGTTGGCTCCTCCTCCTTCAGAAGGCACACACTCTGAAAACACAACTTCAGTCATATGACTTTTTCAGCCAACAACAGCCTTGGGAAAGATTACATGTGAGTCTATTGTTATAGTGTTAAGATACATTAAGGTAGTAAGAGTGAATTTTATGGTAAATGGATTTGTATAGCTAATTTCTAGTCTTCCGACCACTCAAAGCGCTTTTAACACTACATGCCACATTCACCCTTTCACACACACACACACACACACACACACACACACACACACAGTGATGGCAAAGTTCATTGAACAGAAACTCATTCATTCACATTCACACACCGATGACACAGCATTGGGAGCAATTTAGGGTTCAGTATCTTGCTCAAGGATACTTTGACATGCAGCGGGAGGAGCCGGGGACCAAACCAACAACCTTCCAATCAGTGGACGACCCGCTCTGCCTCTGAGCCACAGCCACCCCCCTCTTTCACGCTCTTTTATGCATTACAATAAAAGTAAAGGTTCTGTTTGGATAAATGAATGAATGGATGGATTACCTCTGCACTCAGTGGTTGAAGAGGCGTTCCAGACTGCAAAAACACAGTTTCAGAAAAAGAACATTGGAATTGTTGTTACACAACCTTTTGCCTGTTTTTAACCTCTTTCTGTCATTTGCACTCTGTGTGTTCTGTTATGTTATTTACCTGTATGTCTTCTGTGCCTGAAGGTTCTTCCCCACTGCAGGTTTGAACGAGTGAAAGTTTAATTTTCAAAACAACATTAAATGAACATGTTTACAGTTAATGCAGTTGTTACATGATCATATCATATTTATCATATCCTCATTTTTTCTTTGACTTCCTGCCATGTAACATTTTTTATTTATTTATCTATAAATAGAAGTACTTCACAACATATAATCTATTTTTCACAGTTTGGCTTTGATATTATGGCTGCCACTTTTAAAAAAATCTGAATGACTTATAACATATCATAACATATCTTTATTTAAAGGTCATGCCCTAGGTCAAGCTAAGGCAAACTATTGTTGTGCTAGACTATACATTTTGAATTCCAACAAGACATAATAACACTTGAAAACTTGACCATCTTCGGCTGATAGGGCTGAATCGAGTACTTTGCTTAAACAAGTATCCGGTACAGATAATGTATTTGTTACGAGTACGAGCACTAAACATATAAAATGTGTGTACTTCTGAATACCTGTAAAAAAAGACAATTTGGTCATATAAATATAGAAACTTCTGATCAACCCAGAAACCGACCTGTGGTGCGGCTCCGGTTGGGGCTCCGGTTGCTGCTCCGGTTGCTGCTCCGGTCGCTGCTCCGGTTGCTGCCCTGGTTTCTGCTCCGGTTGCTGCTCCTGTTCACAACACATGATCTACTTTTCCGAGTTTGAATAAGAAGCCTGCCCTGGATTTTACAGAATCTGGCTCGAACATTGGACTAGAGAAAATTTGCTTTTTGTTCTGAAGTGGGGAAAGCTCAGAGAGTCAGAGGATAGGATCAGTCCAGTAATATTTCTTGCGATATTTCAGTCTAAACCAAAATGGTGGACCAATAATTTGCTAAAAATGCAGTCGCAAACAACAGACACATGAAGCTTAACATTGTGCCAACAGGTGTGGGATATTTACCTCTTGTTCTTCGATATATTCAGGTGATTGGTTTTCTTTAATCAGTTCTCCAGCCACATCAAAACACTGTTCCCAATGTTCATCTTGTATTTTGCTCTTGATTTTGTTTTTCAACTGTTTTTGTGCTGATTTCCTAAAAGTCTCTTTCACTGCATCTTTCTCTTCTTCCAAAATCACTTTGTAATATAGATTTTTTCTGTTGCAACAACATGAATCCTTACAGCATTTCATCCTTTTAACTGATGAAATGATGAAAGCAATCACAAGGGCACCGAGGAGTACACAGAGCCCGATAACCTGAAAAAGAAGCAACAAAGATGATTGATGAGAAATGGCTGTGGTGTCAATAACAGTAATCTGCCACTTCGGGATTACAGGTTCATTGTGAGACAGCCCACTAAGATCACCACCACAACCTGTGCACATCACACCTCACATATAATCTATTGAAAACATTTAGTGTAATACTGTGCTGTGAAGTTGCTGCTGTGCTTATTAAATGTAGACTGGTTAAATAAAATTATCTTGGGATAACAAATTAAATGATCATTTTGAGAAATCAACCTTTGAACATAATTCATCGTCATATATGGAAGCCCATTTTCACCAATGTGACAGAAAAAAAAGATTTAGTAAATTTCAAAATAAGGACTTTTATTATTTTTGAGACACCAAGTCAATATTTAGAGTTTCAGTTCTCATTATAATGACTTAGAGAATCTTTTATTTTGTCACATTGGTGGAAATGGGCTTCCATAGTCAGGATCTTAAGAGGACAAATACAATAAAATGAGTGCAACCACAGCCATTACAAATAACACCAATCAACAGGTTTGTCTGATGGAATAAGACCACAGTGAAATAATGGAATAACAGACAGTGAAAGAAAACTCACCAAGGACGTGTCTTTCAGGTCAGCGATGATTGTTTTTTCCTCAGGTGTGATGTCTTTCTCTTCTTTGCAGGCTAACTGTGCCTGTTTGTCAGAATGATCATTCCAACAGCAAACAAACCAGTCTCCATCGACAAACACAGATACAACCCACAGCAGACCAACGAAAACTGCCTTCAGAATGTGACACAGTAAAACCCAGCAAAATGTGCATCCGTATTTCAAGGTTCTCTGAAATGTCTTGTCCGTCCAGAGTTGTAAAACAAATAAAATACAAAATGGCAGAGCCATGTATAAATTACAATTACGAGTTTGTTGTTGGCACGAGCACTTCAAGTCCTTATTGAGCACGACATTGTAAACAAAAATCACGATAATCGCGATGAAGGTGCTGAATTGTTTAAGCAAGAATTTCGGAAAGATGTCCTTCATCTTTGCTGCTATGTTTGCATCTGCTGAGACCCGCTGCTTGTTACCTTTGAATATACTGACAGGAACCAATGCGTTTCCTGTTGTTGAAGAAAGCTGCTTTCACATGCACAGCACAAAAATATAAAGACTTTTGTTTTCGCTCCCTCTTTTAATGAGTTGAAATAAAATGTTTATATGCACACAAAATTGTTTCCCCATTACTATCATTACACAGGTGTGCCTTGGGCCCACGTTGAGTTTTTTCTGATATCAGTGTTAAAACAATACTTTTAAAGGAGAAACTACAGTGACTGCGAAACCTGTGAAAGCAAGAGGCCCCATCTAGAGCTAGTGTTTGGTTTGTTTGTTCTGGACAACAGTAGAAACATGATAGTCCAACATGGTGAACTCTGTAGAAGAAGACCCACTCCCTCTGTATACAAAACGTCTCATTCTAAGGTAATACGATTCTTATATTCAGGTGATTATACACTGATGAAAACATACCTAAGAATATTATATTTCATTTCTGACAAAAGATCTTCCTCAATGTTACACACTAGAGCTTTATCTATCTATCAAGCTGCTGAACTCTCATATTAAATCATGCAATAGGGCAATGTGTAATAAACAAACCAGCACTGTAGCACTTATATTCTTATAGTTTCTTACAGTCTCTTTTTAAGCTGCCACATTGCCAGTGTTAAAATGTATAGTGTCTTTCATGTTTTAAGATGTGTGTCTGTTGTTGAGGTATGTTTGTTTCTGTGAAGCAACAAATTGTAGCACTGTGCCCAAGACAAATTTCCCATCTGGGACTATAAAGTTTATTCTATTCTATTCTATTCTGTTGTAAACCAAAATAAAAAATGTGGATTCAGTGAGCCCAGTTGTATTCATGTGTGATAATGTTCGTCCCCATAGTAGCTATTTCATTGTTCTGAGCTAGCCTCATGAAAGACCGAGGGCCTCCAGAAGATGGATGGCTGACAATAAGGGGTTCTCACTCACAAGTTCTCTTCCCGGCAGAAATATGCTTGCCACCCAATCGCCAAAACATGCAATTCTTACAGAAATCTCGAAAAGGTTTTGATACAAATAAATTTTTTATGGTGTTCCTCAAGGTCTTGGTGACCTAATGTGGTATTTTGGAAGGAATCTAAGAAATTGTTCCATTTTGCACCAAATCTTTGTGACAAATGGTATAAACCCAACAACTGTTGCATCAACTCAAGAGACACAGACTCCCTTTAAAACTTGCATCAAAATGTGTCTTGTAGCAGATTGTCTCTAGATGGGATTTTAAACTGATACATCTGGTACTTATTTGGAGTCCACATTGAGAGACAATCAAGATCTGTTTAATTTATTCAGTTTTTTAATGAACTGGTTTCCAAAATACTGTGAGTTGAATTTGTGTGCAGCTGTTGGTCTTATGGTTAAACCTTGTGTTGAACACTTCTCCTATCTTTCTCTGCAGTGAAACCGAGTGTCTGCATAGGTGTTAAGCTCTTTAACTACAGACAGTACATCTCTGAGCTGGCTTTCTACAGTGATTTTTTTCCTCTCTCTCTTCAGCAGCACTTCAATGTAGGTCTGCCTCAAAGTGAAAATGAAACTTAAAGTCATGTACAACACTGCCTGTGTGCTGTCAAACTTTTGCTTTGAGTTGTGGAAGACTGCCACGATGTATTTTTACATTTTACAATTTTTAATTTTTGGTATGTGTTTAAATTCTGTAGTCATTTCAGGGTGAAAATTAACAATATATATTTGAAAATGGTGCAACGTGCAATGCCACAGTGACAGGATGCAAACAAACTGCAGGTGAGAGGTTCACATGTATCTTACGGCAAGACAGAAATTATTGGCATGAAACAATAGAAACCACAAGTGCTTGTGGTCGTGTTGTGTGCTGACTACCTTTCATCTTAAAGCATATTCTACACTGCACACTGTGTGAGAACCATTTTCTTTACTGGTGCTGGTCGGTTGATTGAGTTCATTTTCATTAAAAAATGAATCATTCACGTTCATTCACGTAAATGGTAAAATTTATATTAATTTATTTTTTACACAACTTTTTTACCTGGCAGGTACTTACACACACTTACAGTACTGTATTACTAGCACTGTACTTTAGTACTTATCTGACAGTAATAATGAGAGTCAGTGTTGTCAACAGTTTCCCTTTATGGTTTACTGGAAGTCTTTTTTTAGGTTCATTGCTACAATGAATACAACATTACTGCAGTGTGGTTAATATGCCATAAAATTCTATAATTACAATAGAAAAAAAATAAAATTTTGGAAACAAATTTATTATGCAGATATGTTTAAATTTATTATGCATTAATACAATTTTGAAAATGATTAAATTAATAAAAGAGAAAAACAAATTAAATCATTCTACATGATTGGCTTTTTCTTATTATATTGAAGTACAGAAAATATAATTATGTAAAATTTGACTTCTGTTCCTTGCAAAGCAAAACTTATATCATCATCATGCATTATACATACAAACATTATGTTTATGATTATCTAACTGATGCATTGGGCTGGTCAGATGTCATCTTGCAATCAAACACTTCAATGTTGTTGTTCTCGGCTGGTTCTCGTGGTTCTGACATTGGGAGATGTTGATTCCACACTCTGAAGAAGAAAATGGCAGTTGTGGTTAGTGGCTCTCAAATATTCTGTTTTGTGCAAAACAGTGTATCAGTATCATACAGAGTAGGACAGCAAAGTAAAAAACACTTTATTTCATGTAGAAGGTAAATAATGCACTTATAAGTCAAAGTTATACCTGGCCAAATCTGAAATAAATCTGAAATAAAGGATATAAATAAGGATAATGATAATGGAGATTCTGGAATTTAATAGTGAAAAATGTAGGAATTTAAAGAGTAACTAAACCTCACAACTTCTGCATATGGGTTTTACTAATGTTGTTGATTCAGGTCCAGATCTGGACAATTTGGTGCAAAGTATTTGAGTTCTACATATTTTGCCATACAAATGCACAGCGACTGCCCTCTACTGGTTGAAATTGGTTAGAACCTGGATAAATTACCTGTCCATCAAATCTGATTATGAAGATGAAATTTTAGAAAGCTGCTCAGTGATACTTTCAAATTAAAGGTAGTTGTGTTGATAAAATTGTTATTTATTGAGTTTTATTGCAGTTTTTTGCAAGCAAGGTTCATTTTCTTTACCTGCTCTTACGATGCTTGTGCCTCTTCAGAAACGATTGGTGTGGTGGATTCTTTAATCAGTTCTGTAGCGACATCAAAACACTCCTCCCAATCTAAACCACGTATTTTGTCCTTGATTCCTGTAGTCAACTTCTCTTTTGCTGATTTCCTCAAAATCTCTTTCAGTACATTTTCTTCCTCCTCCAAAATCAGTTTGTCGTATAATTGTTTTCTTGAACATTTCCTCCATCCAAATGACGACATCACGGCCGGCACACAAACGATACCAAAGAGCAAAAAGGAGCCAATAACCTGAAATTGTAAACGCAACAATTAATGCAAATTCAACCAATCGCTGTAGAGCCAAACGTCATCAAACTACAGGAAATGTTACTCTCACTGCAACAAGTTGCCTTTGATTTTTTCTTTATTCATTCTTTTATGCAATATTCACTTTCTTATTATAAAAAAATTTACTAAACTTAACTAAAAACACCACAACAGGCATTGCATTTTTTTTAAAGGTGCCCTGAAATCTTATCTGGTCTATGCACACAAAAACAGACCTGCAAACCTGCCAGTTTAAAATTGTCAACATGAAGCTAATCTTAACAATTTAGCTCTACTTTTGAGTACTATAATCTGTAACTATGCTAATTGGTACATTTTACTTTATGAGGATTATAATGAAAATATAAAATACTTGTATGAAAAGCAATTGGTAACTATAACTATTAAAGATATTTAATGGAGTAAATTTCATCTAAAATGAGTTTAGAAAGTAGAATAAAATGGAAATGATGAGTTTGTGAGAGGGGAAACTGCCGTGTGCTGCGAAACCATTATTGTGGCCGTCAAAATATTTTTCAAAGGTTCCCAGCAAAGAAAAACAACCCACCCTGGATATGTTCTTCAGTTCTGCGATGATGACTCGTTCCTCTTCAGTGATCATCCCCACAGCTTTGCAGGCTAACTGTTCCTGTTGTTCAGAGTGATCGTTCAGACAGCAGACGTACCAGTCTCCATCGACTAAAACTGCCACAACCCACAGCAGACCTATGAAAGCTGCCTTGATGATGTGATGGATGAAAGAACCAAGAAAATTGCAGGTGTGAAGCCAGCCACATGAGGTCAGGTATCTACAAACTCTCTGAAATGACCTGTCTGTCCAGAGTATTAAGAGAAATATTATGGAAAATGGCAGAGCCAGGTACAAGTTGCAGTCAAAGGCTTGTGGTTTGCAAGTGCATTCAAAGTCCCGGCCAAGCAAGATAAAAATCCCAATTACTGCGACGTAGGGGCAGAATTTTCCCCAAGCTAAACCTCTCTGTGTGCTCTCCATCTTTGCTGGCATCAGATGACAGTCTGCAGCTCATTCCCTCTAACATAGACCAACAGGAAACCATGTATTTCCTCTTTTTGATGGCACGTGAAATGTCCTGACTGGGGTTTGTGTTTCTGCTGATGAAACATTTTTCAAACAATAAATACATAATGTACAGCTGTATGCGAACATTTGGCCATCGTTTGACAGATAACACAATGAGGAGATTTTTTTCATTGAAAAAGTCTAAAAAAAACCTTTTCTTGCAAACATTCTTGCATTGCTTCATTTCATGTCATAAACCAAACAAAATAGAAAAATAAAAACCACTGGAGTCCTGCAGTCTCATTCTTTTTATAAGTTCTCAAACTTTCATCAGCTCATAAGGCGTGTCAACAGTTGTCATTAGGAAACGTCAGCTGGTGCCGATTTTAACCCTTTAAAAATACTCTCTTCAAGTGTAAACACAATACAACTGTAGGAGTGAATTCTCTAGCATGCTATGAAAATAATTGTGGAAAATTCTAAAAAGCAGTCATTGTATTTTGTGATATTTTGTACCTTGATAAAGTCTATCCTGTCCTGATGCAAAGTGAAAAGGTGATGGATGCTGTTGACTGACTGTCTGCAGTTGATCTGAATGGTGGAAAGACGTAAAAACGGCAAATTTGTATAATTCTGTTGTCATATTGAACGTGGTGGTCTGACCTGACGTTACTGCTTGTTTTATGTTCTGTGTCTTTGATAAACCAACAGAGACACTACCGGTTAGCCACCCAGTCGATTGATTGATTGATTGATTCTGTGTACCCAGCTTCAATGTCTGTGTCTGGTTGCAGTCTATGCTGAAAAATAGTGTTGTGGTTTAATTTTTCCGTCTCAGTGCACCTCAATTGATGTCTATCTGACATAGACTTTGAGCTATCTTACTATAGTGAGAAATATGAGCAGTTCCATGGAAGTCAACCCATGGTGTCTGTAGATAAAAACGGTTACTTACACGGAAACACAACAATTCTTAAATTCAGGTGATTAGACACGAATGAAATCTGAAATCAGTGACCAGAAGGAAATCATCCCACCCACCATCAGACCTCTAATCAAAGGAACGTGCATTAAAACAGTAAAAATATCTTGAAACAGTCATCGATGAAAACCTCAGAAAGTTAAATGCTTTTAATGTGGACAGGAAAATGATGTCTGTGTTTTATGAACGTGTTTATTGAATTTGTTCTCACTTTTTGTGTGATTGCTTGGTATGGTAACCTGAAAATAAAGGATAATAATCACCTGAACCACATTGTTGAAGTTGCTGGAAAGCTGACTCAGACACCCCTGATGGCTATCTTTGAACAACATGTTCTCTGCAAGGCCAAGTCCATACTGGACTGTACAAACCATCCTCTTCACCTTGGGTTCAACCTGTCACTTCTCAGCTCAACGTCCTGATATCAAACATCTGGAAACATTAAAACGGTAAATATATTTGTTTGTGTCACTTCTGTTTCATACGTAAAACGTTTGCCGACGGGAGGGGACGGGACGGGACGGGATGGGACGGGGGGGTTCGGACGGGCCTGCCCCCACTGCTAAAACAAATCCTAGAGGAAACACTGAAATGTATATTTTTTCAAAAAGGTTGTAAAATGATGTTAATTCTAGCTTTCTGCTTTTGTTCCAATTGTCGTCTAGTGGAAAGGACAACTTTTGGATGTACACTTTGTATTTTTATGTAATATGTGTTTGTTGGATAAATCCAAAAAAACAAAAAAAATAGGAATGGCAGTTTTATCCCTCAGAATGAATAACATTCTCATTAGAAACAGAAAACTACTAGTTTAACAGCAGAGAAAGGTTGTTATAAATAAAAAAATAAATTTGAATAAAATTAAAACTAATAAGACTTATTTTAAAGCTCATAAATAAAGTTTAAATGGTGCTATTTTGCCGTTGGAGAGCACCAGCTGGAGAAAAGAGGTTGTAAAGTTCTCCCTTAAAGTCTTCACTTGAAGCTGCCAACGCGTTCCAGGTGCTGCACAGTTCAACAGAGGAGAGGCACGCTTGTCTCCCAGTGCAGAAAGTTATGGAGGATGCAGTTTGCTTCCTCCCTCTCTGCAACCTGTGGAGACACCCGGCTGTCGCATACTTCCGTCAGTACACTGCTCATGTGCACTGACCACTAACTGCTGTAGTGCCACTGTCGATGGTTAGTATTGTCCCAAAAGGAACACTTATGTTAGAACCACTTACCGGAAATGACGGGCGGGATGAAAGTGACAAACGCAACACATGTGAACGCGATTTTCCAGCCCGCCAAAAATATATGCCAGCTTTTAATTGCTAGGTAGCTAGGTAGCATTAACATGTAACCTTACGCTAATTAACTCGCCAAATAATTATGTCGGCTTCAGTCAGTGAGGGATATGCAAGTGGTTCATTAGATGACAGTACAATGTCTCGTATTACCACCATTACTTACATTTATACGACTGAGGTGTCATTATATCAAATTCCCAATGGTCCCTCCCCTTCCGCTTTGGTCTCTGTATGTTTTGGTCATTGGATTTTCCTTTCAGAAACGAGTATTAAAAAACAGAAAACGAGTGGTTATTTGATTTTCGTTTTAAAATACAAAAATGAAAATTGAAATACAAGGTGTTTTTCTTTTTCATGGTCAAAGGGGGATGAGCGAAATTTAAAAAATGATTCGTTTTTCATTTTCTATTTCATATAACAAAAAATAAAATCACTAGAAAACAGAAACAGAAAAAAGGCCTGTTGTTTCATATTCTGAGACCGGATGTTGTCATTTACAGGACGGTGCTGTGGAGAAGAAACAGTAGACTAGTAGACTGCGGTCAATCCAGCCGTGAGTCCGATCTCCGTGGTCAAATCAGCTCAAATATAAGAAAATATGCAATCTGGAGGTATAAATATGGGACTTTTATTCTTCAATTTCTCCAGATTGGTACAGTAAAAATGCTTGATATTAAGTATACTTGTAGTCTTAGATGTGTAGAAGTCAAATATACCATCCATAGCCAGGAATTATTGAGCAAAGTGTTTTTACAGTAGCTCAAATACGGTCAAATATGCAATCTCTGGAGGCATAAATATGACTTTTATTTTGGCATTTCTCCACACTGGTGCAGTAAAGATACTTGATATAAAGTGTTTTTTTATTCATCAGGGGCATGAAACACTTTAATGTAACATATTTTAATTATAGCTTACGGCTCTAAATACCTTTATTTTGAAACCAGAAGTAAATACGCTGTTTCTCCGCATTTACCATAATGCTGAGAATACTTGTACACTCTAAATTTAAATGCGGCTGATTTGTCCACGGGGATCGGACTCACGGCTGGATTGACCGCAGTCTACTAGCTCTACTGTTTCTTCTACACAGCACCGTCCTGTAAATGACAACATCCGGTCTCAGAATATGAAAAAAACAGGCCTTTTTTCTGTTTCTGTTTTCTAGTGATTTTATTTTTTGTTATATGAAATAGAAAATGAAAATCGAATCATTTTTTTAATTTCAATCCGTGTATCATTCGTTCTTTTCATATTCAATAAGATTCCAAAATCAAAAAGAAAAACCGGTTTGTTATTTCCTTATTCGTTTATGAATCTGATACCAAAAAACAAATAACGGTTCATTTTTGTACTTTAGATTTATTGCTCAGATCAAACATAGGAAATGAAATAACGGCCACGGATCGATTTTGATTTTGATATTTAATTTTTCGCTTTGTGTGAACCGGAAGTTATTGTCTCGTTAGCTTGATTCACTTCTTCAGTTTAACTAACGTTAGTCTTCAAAACTGAGGATCAATGATGGAGAGTTTCATCTTTTCATTCATCTTCATCTTCATCTTCCTGGCGCGTGCGCGAACAGCTGCATGCTGCCTGTTACTCCAGTCTGCTTTCTAACTTCTAACTTTTATTCTCTTTGTTCGTTCGTATTTTTTCACTCTATGAAGTCCTGTCCTCTCTAACGAGGTTGTTTGAGAGAGTTTTCTGTTCATTTCGTGTTTTAATGTCGCTTCCACCGGGACACGCTGCCGTTGTTTACCCGGAGAACAGCTGATCTAATGCCGGTCGGTACGGTGGACAGAACAGCTGATCTAATGCCGGTCGGTACGGTGGACAGAACAGCTGATCTAATGCCGGTCGGTACGGTGGACAGAACAGCTGATCTAATGCCGGTCGGTACGGTGGACAGAACAGCTGATCTACCAGCTGAACTCTGGAGGAAACACACCGGGGATGCAGAGGAGGAAGGAAGAGAGGAGGGTGGAGACGGGACGGGTTTATGGAGAAGAGAAGACTGAAGCAGAGTCTCCCCTCTCTTGTTATGGTGGATGCACGGTCTCCTAGCAACGGAATGTACGAACTGACGGCATTAACGCGCAGCCCCGCAGAGTACCGGGAGTCTGGTGTGTGTCACTGAACAGGGCTGCACAGGGACATTACGGACCGGACCGTATCTGTCGCTTCCACACCGTCCGGGCGGACCGGGGTTGTACCGAGAGCGAACAGCTGCCGTTGGACTCCGTCCATATCATCTAACGTTACCGAGAGAAATCCTGCACGTCATCATCGTTGTCGTACATCCCTCTGCAAACCCAACATCTGCTATGAGCCTCTGCGAAGAGGAAGCCTGCGACCACTTTACACTGTGTGACTTTAAATGATACTATATGTATATTCTTAATATATTTATGTCTAATTCATATGGAGCATGTAACGAAAGTAATTCCCCCTGGGTTTATTAAAGTGTCTGATTGTGATTGTGATTGTTCAGAGGAACTAAACGGTGACTGTCAGAACATCACTGGATCTCCATCTGCTGCAGCCTAGTAGAAATCTCACATGTGTCTTGGCAGTTTCAAATAAGTCCTTAATAAGTCCTTATAAAGTATAAAGTCCTTAAATACAGAGTACAATAAGTCCTTAAATACAGAGTACAATAAGTCCTTAAATACAGAGTACAATAAGTCCTTAAATACAGAGTACAATAAGTCCTTAAATACAGAGTACAATCACTGCATGATTGACTTTTTCAGGCTTTGCGAAACTGCTGCAAACTTCCAAGTGCAACACACGAAGAAGACAATAACTCCGGTTAACACAAAGCGAAAAAATATCAAAATCAAAATCGATATTTCATTTCCTATGTTTGATCTGAGCAATAAATCGAAAATACAAAAAATGAACCGTTATTTCTTTTTGGTATCAGATTCATAAACGAAAAGGAAATAACAAACCGTTTTTTCATTTTCCGATTTTGGAATCTCAATTGAATATGAAAAGAACGAATGATACACGGATTAATTTCGCTCACCCCTTTTTGAACATGAAAAAGAAAAACACCTTGTATTTCAATTTTCATTTTTGTATTTTAAAACGAAAATCAAATAACCACTCGTTTTCTGTTTTTTAATACCCGTTTCTGAAAGGAAAATCCAATGACCAAAACATATACAGACCCGCTTTGTAGTCAAGATGGCGTCCGTTCAGTGCGAGTAGGGTCCATCATTTAACACTGAATTTTTGGACCGTTGTTAGGGGGTCATCCAGGTACTTTCAGTGAACTGACTTTTTGTGTTATTCAATTCAATTCAATTCAATTTTATTTGTATAGCGCCAATTCATAACAGAAGTTATCTCAGGACACTTTTCAAATAGAGCAGGTCTAGACCGAACTCTTTATAACATTAATTACAGAGACCCAACAGTACCACCATGAGCAAGACCTTGGAGACAAGGGCAAGGAAAAACTGCCTGTTAAAAGGCAGAAACCTAGGACAGACCCTCCGGCTCTAGGTGGGTGGTCGTCTGTCTCGACCAGTTGGGGTGAGAGAGAGAGAGAGAGAGAGAGAGAGAGAGAGAGAGACAGACAGGTGCACAGCAACAACAGTATTGGCAATGGCAGTCAAGCAGGACCATGGCAGGAGGCTCCACCAGGATCCATGAGAACCTGCGAGACGAGAAAGCACAAGAACTCCGGGGAAGAAGTGGAGTTAGTAACATGCATTAATGGGACATGAATGAGTGCAGAAAGAGAGAGGAAGAGAGTAGCTCAGTGCACCATGGGAAATCCCCCGATAGTCTAGGCCTATAGCAGCATAACTAAGGGATGGTTCAGGACTCACCTGATCCAGCCCTAACTATAAGCTTTATCAAAGAGGAATGTCTTAAGCCTACTCTTGAATGTGGTGAGGGTGTCTGCCTCCCGAACCACAACTGGAAGCTGGTTCCACAGGAGAGGAGCTTGGTAACTGAAGGCTCTGGCTCCTGTTCTACTTTTAGAGACTATAGGAACCACAAGTAGCCCAGCATTCAGAGAACGTAGTGTTCTAGTGGGGTAATAGGGTACTATGAGCTCTTTAAGATATGAAGGGGCCTGACCATGAAGAGCTTTATAGGTGAGGAGGAGGATTTTAAATTCTATTCTACATTTTACAGGGAGCCAATGCAGAGAAGCTAGTACAGGAGAGATGTGATCTCTTTAGAGATGTGATCTCTTTAGAGATGTGATCTATCTACACTATATACTTAAAACTATCTACACTATATACTTAAAACTAAGTGTTTGAAGTGTGCAGGTAGGCGGAATGAGACAGCCTCTGAACTCTCCGGTAGAAACGGCCCTGTGTCACATTCAGTGTTTAGTTCAACATCCTCCTTTGTCTCGTGTTGTTCTGTCCCAGGTAGGGTCTCATCAGCTGAAGTTGCATTTAGCGGTGTGTTTGCTTTTTGCAACTCACTTGTTTCACAATCCCCTTCCAAGCACAAAGGAGAAGCTACACTGGCCTCAGAAGATGCTAAACTTCGATCTATCTATATCCAGTGTTTGGTTCAACGATTCTTATTTTCAGTTGATGATACAATGACGAAAAGGCCACAGGCAGAAATGTCTGCACCACCTCCTCAATGAATACATTATTTGGGATACTTCTTATGTGTATGTGTGTGTTTGAAGGCTAAATTATTACAGTCAGCAATATTTTTTCATGCTGAATTCAAAACGTTGCCCAGGCCTGACAGACTGGTTGCTTCCTGTTCTCCTTATATTTGTTCTTTATTTCACAAATGACCACAAAAGCATGCATCTGCACAAATATGGTCTCACGTTTGATGATGTGAAATTCAGTAAGGAAATCAGCCGGATGTCCTGTGGTTTTAAAATCTTTCCACGCAACAACTTAATGGAAATGAGTCATCTCTCAGACTGCAAAAAAGACCCTGTAATAATAAATTCACTATTTCTCACTGTTTAACACCATGTGCTAAAGACTATATGGCAGGGAAGTCAGGAAGTACTGAAAGACAGACAGATAGCTGGTTTTGATCTTTTCATTGGATTTCTAGAGATGAAAAATACAAAGAAGGACCAAACTCCAGCTCAATTCAGCACTTAAAATGATTCATGTAAATAAAAATCACTGCCTTACTTCATCTCTGAGAAATTAATTCTACAGACGGATGTCACATGGTATGTTTTATCCATTTAATTTGAAATGTTGGCATTTATGTTTGTGGACAATTTATACTATAAATACACAATTTAATAGAATTTAACTTTACATTTACACGTAGCTTATTGCACAGAAAAGGAAACTGACCTAAGTTATTGATCCAGTGCAGGAACTTCATATTAGGACTTACTATTTATTTTCAAAATTCAAACTATTGTTGAAATGTTTAAACATTGAATATTTAATCTGTAATTGTCTCTATTAATTCAAAATCCACAATGTATTCACGAAACCAGCCATGCCTTGTACTCCAGTCACTCTGATCGATCAATATCTTCTTGCTCTTCCAATTATTTTATTAATATTATGCTACACATCCAATAACACCAACCACAAAGAAGATTGGTACAGTGACAGTCCACATTGTTTTTATTAGTGATAAAAGTAATGTTTTTTTATGTTGATCAATGTAAAAAAAAAAGTGTGTGAACTTTCTATCGTTGCTTCATGAATCACAGCAAACAGCAGATGGTTTCTGCCGACAGTAAGCGACTGAAAGTTAAGTGTAAATTAGAAAAATATTTTAGATAAACATATCCTGACCATTGACAGGTTTTTATTTTGAAATTAAAGCATATTTCAATAATTGTAAACAACAGTAATAATCTGAGCACCAGAGGTCCAAAAACACTAAATCCTACACTCCCATAATGCAACCGGAAGTTATTTCTCATTTCAATCGATAGTTATTATTCATATTTAATACAGTAAAAGTACTAATACCACACTGTTAAAAAATATGCTTTCAAGTAAAAGTATTTGGCGATAATGAGTAAACTGTAGTTCAGGTATTAAACTGTTGTACTATTATATCTGATATCATCGGATTATTCTGACTGATGCATTAATATAAAAGCAAGATTTTAATTTTGGAGTTGGTTGAGCTGATTTTCAACTATAACTGTTTATTTTCATTATGGATTAATCTGCTGATTACTGTCTCAATGAATCTATTGATTGTAAAATAAGAAAACATCACCCTAAACATCTCTTTGTCTTTAAGAAAAGGAAAACAATGAGGTAAATTACAAAGCAGTATCAGTTCACCTTGCATCCATCATTTTGTATATTAGGTTCCAGGAAATTGTAGAAGATATTTAAAATTTTCAAAAAATGATCACGTTTGTCTTTGGTGTAATAGCTTTTCTTCAAGAGCAAAGTCCTTTCAGCCACAGAGAGCACACAATACACAGTTTATCCTTTGAGAGACAGACAGTAAATTAAGACCTGACATTGTTTGAAGTCACAAAACAACGCCACCTTCCAAGCAAACTTTGGGATTCCTAAAAGAAAAACTTGACGCGAGAACGTGCAGTCCTTCATGGAAACTCTGACCCATGTGATGAAACATGAGAAACAGATTGAAACGGATTTCACTGTCAAATAAATTAAGACCTCGCGTATCATATAAGAAGAGTTTATTCTTACAAAGAATATGCAAACAGCTGATTGATTGACACCTTCTGAAGTGCAAAAGAAAGAATGTGAGATAATAAATATAAACGCTGATGTCTGTTATTGCAAGAACTCGTCCAATATAACATTTATTTATATAAATAATAAAGTTACCATTAGAAAAAAAAACACGATTGTCTTCCTGCAGTCAGTAGGAATTCATCTTTTTGTCACTATTTATAGGCTAATATGAGCGTTACATAAAGCTTGCAAAAGTGCACCACATGTTGAATTAAATAAAAAAAGAGGTAAAACGTGCAGTGTGTTATAAGCATTGACTGTATATATAACGACAGTATATATAATGGACAGAGCTGAAAGTGAAGCCAACCTGGAAGTGTCTTAAACCTGCATTCTATGTAAATTCCAGCACCGTTGGCTGCAATAACACAGAGATCCCATTCACCGACTTGACACTTCCTTTATGAGCTCAGTAAACAGTTTCCTGATGAGTATAGGGTCTCAGTCGCTAGTTTAACATTTTGTTCAATACATTATGATGTCCATTTAGTAAATTATGGTCTAATTTAATTTTAAATAGACGATAAAGCAGCGTGGTCTTTTGGGCGGGGCTACCTTTTGATTGACAGCTCATTCACAGTGAGTCCATCCAGCTCTATGCACCAAACTCAGATCAAACTCTCAAACTAGGCAGCGCTGATCAGATACGAAGCTAGATTCTGTTGCCTTAAAATGCTTTAAATGATTTCAGAACATATTTTAGTGTTTAGCTGGAATACAAGATTGTGTGTGACCAGGCGAGCCGCCATTGTTTCCTGCTACGGACGAGTCAAAACTGTGCAGCCAATGAGAGCAGCTCACCTCGCAGTACGTCACGTCCGCTGGATACGTTCACACTTGGTTCTAAGTCAGAACATTTTTGTCCTCTATGTACAGTGGACTCCAGTGGAAACACTTTTTGGGACATTTTTACCATGATATCGAAATTGGTATTTGGAAGCGTAGAATATCACCGGCACTACTTAATTTCTGGTATGGTGACATCCATATGTGCCACTGGTTTATGAATGTGTGTGAATGGGATTAGTTCCTGTTTCTAATGAGCAGCTATGAATCAATGAGTGAATATGACATATAGTGTAAAGTGCTTTAAGTGCTATAGGTGCACTCCATTCCATATAAGAATATCAGAAACTGCTGGTACTGCTGGCAAAAAACAGAAACTCAACTTTAAACATAATATGAACTTCCATTGTTAGTAATGTGTAAATGAACTGCAACACTCCATCGTTCCACAAGGTGGAGCTGTGACAGAAACAGAAATGTGTTAATCTGCAGTTCTGTGCTCATAAATGAATCTGTAGAGACTTTTTTGTGTTCAGATTATCTAATAAAGTCCAGGTGGAGGAGGTCAGACAGTGTGACAGGTCAGAGCTGATGCTGCTGCTTCAACCTCTCTGGATCATCAGGACACAGCGGATCCTCCAACACAACCTCCTTCCTCACCGCTCACACTGACAGAGATCCACACTTCCATCTGAGGAGAGAAGGAGACAGAGGACAGCAGAGATAAATCAGTGTTTACAGAGACTCCCTCCATCAGCACATCCAGTATAAAGAGCAGCAGGGACTTCAGTCCAGTTCAGAGCAGCAGTGGAGCGGCTGCGTAGCGTAGCCTGCTTCCTTTCAGCTCTCATTTTAACGTATTGCAGTGAACACACTGAGCTGAAGCTCACAAACCTGCAGACACTGAGTTCCTGAACGCATCGTTACTGCAGAAACAGAGAGACATTCACTGGCCACTGGAATGATGCATTTAATGCTGTTTGAGTTCTAAGCTGTTAAAAATCAGCTACTTTGGAAATATTAGAAATATATGGATGAAACAAGAGACAAATGGACAGTGTATGTAACAAGATACCCCCTGATGGTGATGACCCGTTAAGTTTACACCTGGCATTAGAATGAGTCTCCACTGACCTCTTCACCCGCTCTGCAAATAAACACTATAGTGCTGGTGTTCTTGTGTATACTTGATTCTGAGAGTCTGCGAGAGAACAACCATGCTGAGGTCTTCTCTCCATGCTGCATGAAGTAAAGAGACTTATCACAACAGGTCTTTAATTCTTAAGATAAATCGCAACTAAACTCTCAATATTTTGGAAGAATTTCTCTTACTGTTCCTTTTTTTCCATCTTTTTTTTGCACACTAAACTCCTATATCAGCCCGAGTATTTTTCCTGCGCTGTCAGCAGCCTGCAGGAGAGACCCTGTAGTGGATTGTGGGATTTTATAATGGAATTTTATGAGGATGACACTTTTACTTCCTCTGACTGTGTGGAATTTTCAAATCACAGATGAGGAAGGAAGGCATTATTGCCAGAGAAAGTAAAGGTATGAGTCCTGCTCACATTGTTTCATTGTCACTCACAATATTTGTAATCTTTGTGATTATGGTGAACATTCGATTTCTATTTTTATTTTTATTGTGTAACCCCAGTTCTCAGATACACCGTAAAGGTGATGTTAGTTTTAATGCTCCACATAGACAATATACAGACAGTATTGTGCCTTAAACAACCACACGTGGTCATGTCACATGTTCTGAACATATGGTGTGTAGATCAAAGACACACACACACACACACACACACACACACAGTGTGCTTATTTAGTTTCATATTGTGTGTTTTGCTTTTATCTTTTTAATAAATGCTTGTGTTAATACATTAGAGCCTGTTTAATGTTGCACAAAGTGAATAATAGCAATCTCTTCTCTGCTGAGATCCATCAACTCATTAGCTATTGATGGTAATTTTGCTTGTAGTTATTCATTAAAATATTAATCAGAGTTCCAAAATAATAGTGTATTTTATGAGACTGAGAATCAATCAATTAATAATTTTCTTGTCTTTAAGGGATCTTTCTGTCTTTCTGTACAATCCTGAAGCCTGTCCACATTCTCCTCTCACAGCTTCACTGAGAAAAGCAGCAAATACTGGATCTGTGTTTAGTCCAAGACTGCTGGAACCAGCATGGACTGACTCAGACCCTCTACTGACCTCAGAGTCTGCAGTCTACAGTGTGGACTCTTCACAAGATCACACAGCAGCTTCACCCCTAAACCCTGCAGGTTGTTGGACTTCAGGTCCAGCTCTCTCAGATGGGAGGGGTTGGACTTCAGAGCTGAGACCAGAGAAGAACAGCTGATCTCTGACAAACTGCAGCCACTCAATCTGAATAAAGAATAAAAGATGTGAGTTTAGAAGACAATGTTCCTGCTTGAAATCATTCAGTGTTTAATAACCTGTTCAGAGCTGAAGAAGGTTTACAAAGAGCAGTATGATTCTCAAGTTCAATATATGCAAAATGTTGGAAAAAGAAAATATTGAATATATTTGTTACTATCTGTTTTATAGTAATTCATTAAAATAACCGCATGGTAAAATTTTAGGTGAAAATAAAGAGTTGAAGATGTTCAGAGTGAACTAGAGAATTTCTGAAGATATTGCAGGTTTGAATGCTAAACTGAACTGCTGGCTTTGAGATTTTGTGAAAGATGTGACATATTTGAGGATTTGTTGAAAAGCTTACACTAGACTGAATTGCTGGCTCTACAAGTTGAACAATAATAATCTGTAAAAGGTGGAAGATTTTAACATTTGTTATACAGGCATGAAAACGGGTCAGGGGTGAAAAAGGTGAGCAGGATATTACCCCTCTAGGGGAGTCCGGGGGCCTTTCTCCCCCAGAAGAACATTTTGAATATTCAATAAAGCATCAATCTGATTCATTTTGAGATGCATTTTTTGCCAACCTGGGGTGAGCTGGAGAAACTTAACTTCAGCCATGAGTCAAAAATATTATGGCCTCCTTACTAAGTATAATGCACCAGAGCTTTAGCTGGCTAACGTTGCGTTCTCTATCCTGCTGTGTTAAATGACTCAATTCATCAAGCTGTAGCTAACGTTAGCTTTACGTTAGAAAGAAACTGGTGATGCAAGGCCCTTCGTGCTAATATTTCCATGAACTCACGCTCCCTTCTGGCACGCGCACCTGTTCGCAGTTCACTGAGTCTCTGGTACCTACTATGGCTCCTTTCAGTGGGGGGATATATCAGGCAGCAAGTGAAAATGTTGTCCTCAGAGTTGATGTGTTAGAAGCAGGAAAAATGGGCAGCGTGAGGATCTGAGCGACTTTGACAAGGGCTGCATTGTGATGGCTAGATGGTCAGAGCATCTCCAAACCTGCAGCTCCCAGTCTGCAGTTCCCAGTCTGCAGAGGTCAGTACCTATGAGGGAAATAGTATACCCTGATGGGAGCGGCTTCTTTCAGCAGGATAATGCACAACAAAGCAAAAATGGTTCAGGAATGGTTTGAGAATGGTCAAACAAGTACGATCCATGGAGCCCCCACGTACCAACTTACAGGACTTCAAGGTGCTGCTACTAATTTGTTGGTGCTAGATACCAGAGCACACCTTCAAAGGTTAAGTGGAGTTCATGCCTCCACAGGTCAGGATTGTTTTGTCAGCAAGCAGTAGTGTTGCTTTCGTCAACAAAAATTATGACTAATCAAATATATATTGCAATATTGTTGACGAATAAAAACAGGACTAAATGTGGTTTGCAAAATAAAAACTCTGCTAAAATATCTCTTCATTTTCGTTGACCAAAACGAGACGAGACGAAATGTTATAGTGTTATTTCGTCTCGCTATTGTTATCATTTTGCAATATTTCTGTTTTCTGAGACTCGGGGCTGCATCAGCGCACTGCGCAGACGCAGGCTACGTCACTTCCTCAATCCCCACTTGCAGCTTTATTTAGAAGATGCAGCTGCGGTGCGTTAATGTTAACGACAACTCAAGAAACAAAGTTAAGTCTGGCACAAAGAAAGGGACCGATGGCCAGCCAGCCAAGATGGGGAGAAATGCAGCCACAAAATCGCAGGAAAAAACACCACGAATCTTAAGAGACATCTCAAGGCATTCCATAATGAAATAAAAAATAAAAATAAATAAATATGTTGTAAATTCAAATCAGAGCGTCTTTCGTGTCTGGAATTGAATGTATTCTTGAGTCTATAAGGTAACAATAATATAATAAGATAACCTTGTTTGACTTGTGAAATGGGTGACTTAAAGAAAATTTTGGTTTTGTCTATACCATACTAGGTACCTAACTGGGTTAAATAGAACTGCATTAATAAAAAGAGACTAAAATACAATTTTCATTGACTTAAACTAGACGAAAATGTCATGGATAATTCTGACTACAATAAGACTAAAATGCTCAGACTTTTAGTCGACTGAAACTTGACTAGACTAAAAGGGGAATAAATGTGACTAAAACTAATAAAAACTAAAATAACAGTTTGACACAAACTAAAATTAAAACAGGCGGCTAAAAACAACACTATTAGGCAGGAAGTCATAATGGTATGGCTGATTGGTGTATCTGATAAGGTTTGAATGTAGCTTCCAACTGAATGATTAAACACAAGTTGACAAAGTATAGAAATGAGTTTGAATAATTGGAAAAGGACAAAAGGATTAAGACTGCAAAATACAGTATAATCCCAGAGATTAATTGCATTCATTAAGTAAAGGATGCAAGAAAACATGAACTGCTGGATTTAACTTATATAAACTAAGGAAGTATTCTAGTTGGACAAGTGAGAAATAATAGAATTACAATGAATAAGACTGAAAAGTTAAATAGATTTCATAATGTGTTCAAGATCTTGAATATTACAAGATCTGAATTCACAGCTTGAAAAATACTTGAAAATTGTCTGCCTGTCTCTCTGACTGTCTCTTTGCTTATCTGCCTGTATGTCAAACTGTGTTAATTAGGTCAGCTCACTCAGCTGTGCGCTCCCAACTCCAAATAAGTGTCATGGTAATGGTACCTGCTGTGTGTCTCCTGGGTCAGAGGTTTCATTTCATAGAGATTCTAGCTGAGGCACACCTCTCATGATTATGCTTCAAACCCTTACTCCTATCACCAAAAAGTAGATGTATTCAGCAAGACGAGGGCCTGCTGACCACAACTGGTGAGATTTGTGTGTGTAGAGTCAAAAATGGGACCGCACCAGCTGTTGGAAGAAGTTGCTGTTTTTGCTTCACTCCTGAAATTTCTTCTCCCATTTAAAATATATATATATATATATATATATATATATATAAAATGAGGCAAAAGTATGAGTCAGATTTTAAGTCAAAATTTCGTGAATTTGAATGTACAACAGCTGATGAAACCAATCGCTGATATATTGATCCAATTGCCCAACCCTATTATGTATGAACATAAATTAGGTTCAATTGTTAACGAAAGATATCAGATCTACAACAGTAACAGAGAGTCAGAGAACTGATCCTAAACTGTGTTTAGTCCAATACTGCAGCATGGACTGACTTAGACCCTCTACTGACCTCAGAGTCTCCAGTCTACAGTGTGGACCCTCCAGAAAACCACACAGCAGCTTCACTCCTGAATCCTGCAGGCTGTTGTCACTCAGGTCCAGCTCTCTCAGATGGGAGGGGTTGGACTTCAGAGCTGAGACCAGAGAAGAACAGCTGATCTTTGACAACCAGCAGCCCCTCAATCTGAATAAAGAATAAAAGACGTAAGTTTACAATTAAACAGTTGTTTCACAGAAATATCTGAAATACAAATACTGAATATATTTGTTAATGTCTGATAGTTGGAAATGTGATTATTTATTTTCTTCATTATGTTTACTTATTGTTATTATCATTTATTAAGAAAAGGAGACATTTAATGGACCAGATCTCCTCTGACCTCTGATTTCTGGTCTGCTGCCACAATGTTAGTGTGACTTTTGATCTGGAGTCTGCACCCTGTATTTTATTTTGAAAATTGACCGGATTCTCTGAGCTGTGTCTGACTTCCTGCCAATGTGATCTGTTCTGTGCTGCGACACACCAGCCCCCCAGGAAGAGCTTTGGCCCTGGTAGAACAATACTGACTCTGTGTGAGGCCCATGTAGTGACCACGGTATCCGTTTGGGTAACTCACTCTTGGGCTGACTGACATTAACAGACTCTGGTGTTTGCTTGAAAATATTAAATGTCCACAAACAGAAATATGCTCCTACAGCCCGTATGACATGTAAAGTTTCACCATTGCTGAAGTTTGATCTTGTTCTCTTTGGCAGAGCCTCAATAAATTCTGTGTGTCAGTCATCAAGGTCTCCTGAACTCTTCATCGAGTACGAGTTGTTCATCTTCTTCACAGTTTCTCCATCACACGTACAATATGTTTTCATTGATCTGCATGATTCTGCTGCATACAGTGATGTTTGAGGTGTGCTGATGCACATGTACCATCAATTCAGATCAATTCAATTCATAATAATTTCTTTATCAGCTCTGTGATTTGGATTCGCTCCAAAGTTTAATGTTTTCTTTCTTAACCGATACTACACCCTCCCAACAAGTTTCATAACAATCAGACCAGTAGTTATAATGATAATAATTAAAATCCTGCTGACAGACAAACACACAAACAGCACAAAAGCATATCCCTCATGTTAAAGGTAAAAATGGTGTCTGACCTCAGAGTCTCCAGTCTACAGTGTGGACTCTCCAGAAAACCACACAGCAATTTCACTCCTGAATCCTGCAGGTTGTTGATACTCAGGTCCAGCTCTCTCAGATGGGAGGGGTTGGACTTCAGAGCTGAGACCAGAGAAGAACAGCTGATCTCTGACAAACTGCAGCAACTCAATCTGAAGAAAGAATAAAAGATGTGAGTTTAGAAGACAATGTTCCTGCTTGAAATCATTCAGTGTTTAATAATCTGTTCAGAGCTGAAGAAGGTTTACAATGTACAAGTTTAGAAAATGGAAACTCCAAACACCTGAACCCAACAGGATGCAGGTTGCAAACTGTAAAATACAAAGAGTGAAAAAGAGCTCTCATTAATATTAATGACAATGTGCTGCTGCTTCAATAAAGACGTAGTGACTTCAGCTCTTAACCTCTGCCAGCTCCACCAGTGGCTGGTGGAGCTGGTGGAATTTTGGGGAAATGTGAATAAATGACAACTACAATATTTCTTTTAGGAATAGTGGAGTCATAAAATCAAATCAGCTTCAGTTTAAACTATTCAGTCAGTATAAGCAAAATGGTGTCTGACCTCAGAGTCTCCAGTTTACAGTGTGGACTCTCCAGAAAACCACACAGCAATTTCACTCCTGAATCCTGCAGGTTGTTGTTGATACTCAGGTCCAGCTCTCTCAGATGGGAGGGGTTGGACTTCAGAGCTGAGACCAGAGAACAACAGCTGATCTCTGACAAACTGCAGGAACTCAATCTGAATAAAAAATAAAAGATGAAGATACAAATCATTTATAATTCACTAAGATGTGTTGAGGTTTAAAATGTGTTGCTCTACATTACTATGTCCCAATCAATGAGCTTTTCTCTAAAATCAGTAGAGTGACTTTGTCATTGAGTTCTTGTGGATCATCATAATGTAAGCCTTTTACAGACTTCCTGTTTCTTCACAATAAGACCATCCCCCCAGTACAGAATAAAATGCAAGCTTTCATACAAGCAGGTATCTAGACAACTGAATATAATGAAATGTTTTAAAGGGCACATATTATGCAAAACCAACTTTTTAATTGTTTGATTATATACATTTGGGAATCTGGAGAGCCTATCAACAGACAAAGTGTGAAAAAAGATGACTCAGTAATGTTTTTGTGGGCTGCTTCAGTCAGAATACATGAGATATTCACACAATTCAGATTTTTCCCCAATTCTGAAGTGTTTTGGATTTTCATTAGCATATTGCAACCTTTCACCTGCACGTTGCCACCCACCTCAGCTTACTTCCGCCTTGTCTAGCGGAGCTCCACCATTGTCCCTACAAGCAAGCGACTGAGCCAGCAAGTGGCCGGCGTTGTCTGAGCAAAGGCTTAAGCACACTAACTGTTCAGTCCTTGGCTGCAGAGCCCAACACAAATCTCTACATATGAACGAGCACAGTGGATTCATTTTCACTTTCGATGGCAATGTCCGGCTAGAGTCGGGGAAAGTCTGTACGTGTGTGAACCACGTCGTGTCGGACTGTGATGTTGTTGAAGTTTTCTTACGCCCCATACAATGAAGAAGGCCTCACTACCCCCCATGAAGTTTTGGCGACCCCTAATGGGGGTCCCAACCCCCAGGTTAGCAAATAACAATTTTTCATTTCTGAAAGATAGAACAGTTTGATGATTCTTAAATACAGTTTGATTTGTTAGACAGCATAAACTTTTTAAAACTATATACAGTTTTTGTTTTTTTTTCTATCGAAATCACCAACGCTGACTGGTCTCACCTGTTATCTAAGAGAGTTCTTTCCTTTGTTTTTTCTTCTTTCTTTCTTGAATTGTCAAACAGACTTTGCTATGTTGGGACGTTATGGCCTGTGTTAGGATGCTTTTTATTATTCTTCACTCTGGTTTAAGACCTCAGCAGCTGCGTTTGTTGTCTTGGTAGCAGCCAATTCAGTTTCTCTGAAGCCTGTTTGATTGGCTACCATCAAATCAACAAAAACCCAATTAATTTCCTGAGATCTGTGCTCAAACACAACCGGGAAGTTTATAAACCAGATATTTAAATTGAACATATACAAAATGTATATACAAGTTACAGTTAGTGAACTGACCTCAGAGTCTCCAGTCTACAGTTTGGACTCTCGAGTCCAGCAGACAACAGCATCACTTCTGAATCCTTGAGGTAGTTGTAACTCAGGTCCAGCTCTCTCAAATGGGAGGGGTTGGACTTCAGAGCTGAGGCCACTACTTCACAGTGAGTCTCTGAGAGTCCCCAGTTAGAAAGTCTGTCATGACACATTGAAACATTTACAAGATATGTTATGAAACAGGACATTTTATATTTGTTTATATTCCATCGTCAAGTGCTTGCTCACAATGGGAATTTTTGTGTTTCTGAAATTTATCTTAGCTTCCCCAAAATTATCACTTAAATAAATAAGTCACTACACCAGCTACCTAGTTATAGTGCTGTCAGTATCCCACTGATTTGAGTTCAGTAGCAAATCCGCCATTCGGTACACACACACACACACACACACACACACACACACACACACACAGAATTCATTGTAGGCTAATTAGGCTTCCACTGTCCTAAGATCAGTGGGGGAAGCTTCTCTGTCACATGTCACGTCACAAGGGTTCTGCTCATGGTGGGAACTGTTGTGTCTCTGTAAATCATGTTATAAGGAGTACAGCCTGAACCTGCTCTATTTAAATAGGGACCTGAGATAACTGTACAACTGTACTATACAAATAAAACTGAATTGAATTGATTCTAAGCTGTTTTAGTCTGGATAGATCACAACAGGTTTTAGGACAACTCAGTCTGTGTGCTGTGGGTGGCCTTGGCCCACCCTGGATCTGGTCAGTGCCTCATTTATCCAACATTATGGGCTTACACTTGCATATAGTGCATGGTGGGGCTTACAGTCTGCTAGATACTTGTCGTTTTGCTGGAAAAAGTTATAAATATCTTCATTTTCAACTCAACTGTCTGTGTGTTGGTAAAATATAATTATTGGGTTGAGGGCCTCTGTCTACCTCTGCCACAGTTTATAAACACACAAACATATTTTTCTTACATATGAGATGTATGACTGTGATCCTCTGTGGGCTCTGGATAAATTCATGTAAATTTCTGTAAAAACTGATAGTATGAAATTTGATGTTGTAACTTAAGAGTCAAATGCTCACATTTGTTTAGGTTTATGAAGAAATGTATTAAATCGTCATCGGTAAAAGCTATTATTGTTATCATTATTATTCATCTTCCCCCATCGTTGTGGCATTTGTCGTCATTATCATATAAACCAATAAAGAGGATCACTGTATTCATTCATTTAAAGAAACATTGTTCAAACAGCTTTTGAAACAAGAACATCTGTGACAACTGACATATTTAGTGTGTAATAAAAGGGTGGAACAGCGCTTTTAAGAATAATATAAATGTTACAGCATTGAAGAACTAAACTATTAATAAACACTGATTTATAATGTTAACACATCTGGACTTACACAGCCTTTCTGCAGTTCCTCACAGCTGGAATCAGTCTCTGTCGTCCCTCCTCTGATGTGTTGTACTTCCTCAGGTCCAACTCATCCAGAACCTCCTCTGACATCTGCAGCATGTAGGCCAGAGCTGAGCAGTGGATCACAGAGAGTTCCTTCTCTGATCTGTTCTCTGACTTCAGGAACTCTTGGATCTCCTGATGGACTGAGTGGTCGTTCATCTCCATCAGACAGTGGAAGATGTTGATGCTTCTGTCAGGAGATATATCAGCACTGTTCATCTTCTTCAGGTTGTTGATGACTCTCTGGAGAATTTTTGGACTGTTGTCTGTCTGACCCAGCAGGCCTCCTAAGAGTCTCTGGTTGGACTCCAGAGAGAGGCCATGAAGGAAGCGAACAAACAGGTCCAGATGACCATTTGTACTTTTGAGGGATTTCTCTGTGGCTCTGCTCAGGAAGACATCCAGAGATGGGTTGTTGCCAAAGTACTTAAAACTATTCTTAAAACACTTTGGGTCTGAGTCCCTGTCTCTCCATTCTTTTCCAAGGAAACCCTCCAGTACCTCTGTGTTCCTGTTGGTGTGACAGTGAAACATGTAGACTGCAGCCAGAAACTCCTGAATGCTCAGATGAACAAAGCAGTAGACTGTTTTCTGGAAGATCACACTCTCTCTTTTGAAGATCTCTGTACAAACTCCTGAGTACACCGAGGCCTCTGTGACATCAAGACCACACTGCTCCAGGTCTTCTTGGTAGAACATGATGTTTCCTTTCTCTAGCTGTTCAAACGCCAGCCTCCCCAGCTTCAGAAGAACTTCTCTGTCAGCCTGCATCAGTTCCTGTGGACTCATCTCATGTCCTTCATCGTACTTCTGCTTCTTCCTCTTCGTCTGAATCAGCAGGAAGTGTGAGTACATGTCAGTCAGAGTCTTGGGCAGCTGTCCTCTCTGGTCTGTGGTCAACATGTGGTCCAGAACTGTAGCACTGATCCAGCAGAAGACTGGGATTAGACACATGATGTGGAGGCTCCTGGAGGTCTTGATGTGTGAGATGATTCTGTTTGACAGATCTTCATCACTGACTCTCCTCCTAAAGTACTCCTCCTTCTGGGCATCAGTGAAGCCTTGCACTTCTGTTACCCTGTCAACACATTCAGGAGGGATCTGATTGGCTGCTGCAGGTCTGGAAGTTACCCAGACGAGAGCCAAGGGAAGCAGATTCCCCTTGATGAGGTTTGTCAACAGCCCATTGACTGAAGACTTCTGTGTGACGTCAGACAGAACCTCATTGTTGTGGAAATCCAGTGAAAGTCTGCTTTCATCCAGGCCGTCAAAGATGAACAAAAGTTTACAGACAGCGAGCTGCTCTGCTGTGACCTTCTGTAATGTTGGATGGAAAACATGGAGCAGCCTGAGAAGACTGTACTGCTCATCTTTGATCAGGTTCAGCTCCCTGAACGAAAGCAGAACCACCAAACTGACATCTTGGTTCTCCAAGCCCTCTGCCCAGTCCAGAGTGAACTTCTGCACTGAGAAGGTTTTACCAATGCCAGCAACGCCGTTCGTGAGAACCACTCTGATGTGTCTCTGTTGGTCAGGTAAGGCTTTAAAGATGTCGTGGCACCTGATTGGAGTATCATGGAGCTTCTCCATCTTGGAAGCTGTCTCAAGCTGCCTCACCTCATGTTGGGTATTAACGTCTTCACTCTGTCCCTCTGTGATGTAGAGCTCAGTGTAGATCCTGTTGAGGAGGGTTCCACTTCCTGTTTCATCAGTTCCTTCAGTCACACATTCACATCTCCTCCTCAGACTGATCTTAAAATCCCCTAAAACCTCCTGCAGACCACCGTCTGCTGAAAGAGAAGAAAAAATGTGAGTGAAGAAAAAGATTTTGAGAATCTGCTGATTATTGTCAAGAACGATTTAAAAAACTATCAATGTAAAGGTTATAAAGTCCATCTGAAACCTCAACTAGTGTTGTAAATCCCAACATGCACTGAAAACAGTAGTTTACAAGCTGAAGTGCAGAGAGTGTTTTTTTAGCAGACTAAGCTGTTTAATGTACTGAGACTGATGAGCTTATTAGTAGTGGTCGACCACTATGGATTTTTCACTGGCAGATGCCGATATTTAGAGACCAGGGCTGCTGATGGCTGATATATAATGCAGATAACACAAAGAAAACTCAAGTATAATTAGGTTCTATTCTATTAGAAATGCATGCACATGTGTACAGCAGGATGTATGACAGTTACAGTACGACACTCAAAACCAACTTTTTTTTCGCCACCCTCCAAAACTCACAATGGGAGGCACTAACATTGTTCCACAGCAGCCACACTGATAAGGAAACTTCACTGTGTTTGCAGACATTTTACTACTAATTAGGTGCTGTAGCCTGAAAACTGACGTTAGCTTGTTCAACAAGTTGATCTGCAGGATGAGACGTGTTCAGTGTTTCCTACAGGATGACAGTTTACCTGAGGCAGCGGCTGAGGGGGTAAAAAATTTTTTTTGAAAATACAGGCTACATTCCCCTGTCCTTGGAGGCTGGATTATTTCCTTTTTAATTTAATTTAATACTTAACTCGCAATTTAACTCCTTTAATCTGCTCGCCTTGATTTTCCTTCTTTTCCACTCCTGCATGCACACACTGATCTGAGTCTCTCACACAACCCGCCCCAACCCTTTCTGTTTCTCTCTCCTCTCTCTGTTTACTGTCTTCAGCAGTAAGTTTCATAAAGTTTCAATAAACAACACGCGTTGGTATGTTTTCAGCCACATCAGCAGGTGAGCTGCGTGTGGAGGAGGCTTGTTACTTATTAGGTAGCCTACCAAAACAACTGAAACCAACATGGTACCAAATGACAATGGCAAATGCTTGCTCATGGTGGGAAGTTGAGTGTCTTTTATAAGAGACTAGATCTGCTCTATTTGAAAAGTGTCCTGAGATTTGGTGCTATACAAATAGAAAAGAATAGAATAAAAATACTAATATATATATATATATATATATATATATATATATATAGTTTGGTTTTATGATAGAGCCCCCTGTTTTTGCATTAATCAGTCAGAATGCAGTTTGTTATCTGACTGCACAGAAGGAGAAACTAAATCTAAAGTGTAAAGCAGTCACTGTTATACCACAGGCACACTAACAGACAGAAAGCAGCCGGAGACACAACAGCCCACATCAGCTTTCCTGCTAATGTCTCCTTCTTCGCTAACTTACAAACACAGTTTCCCATTCCTTACGTAAACTATGGCTACACTCAACCGTCTGATCTCTCCTGTCACAGTTTCATAATGAAGCAAAACATTTTTCACACTTCTCTCCGACATTGTGTTTTATGCGGTTACTTCAGCAAAGAATCTCTCACTTACAGTACAAATGTCTGCGATCGATTAACTACAGTCTCCCCTCACTCTGTTCCTCCTGTACATTCTACTGTCTCACTGCTTTGCAAAAAAACTGTTAAATTTCAGTTGGACTGTAAATATTAATAAAGATCTTAAATGGCTGTGCTGTACGACACCACAAATGTATTAAAACAAGTAGTGACTTCAGCAGACAGGTATACAGTCTTACCTTGTACAGTGCTGGTCTGACTGTCTGTCTGCAGTCCAGGTCTTCTTCTGGATCTTTCTCCACACTGGGGACAGGAGGAGTCTCCTGGTGAACCAGACTGGTCCCAGTATGAGGTGATGCACTGTCTGCAGAACCAGTGTCCACAGCTGGTAGAGACTGGATCCTTCAGGACGTCCTGACACAAAACACAGCAGGACAGCTGCTCCTCCTCAGGACCAAGACTCCTCTTCCTCTCTCTGTGGAGACATTTCTTTATTAGTCAACTGATTTGTTGACTGTAGTTAAAAATATCAACATTTGTCCATTGAGTGTGTAGAAGCTCAGATGGTCACAGAGAACAGTACAAGTCTCGTTACTTTTCTGTTTGAGTTCAGCATTCAGTCTGTAATGAAAATGATTCATTTTATTTCCTTTTATTTTCAAATTTAGTGATCTGCCTGTAATTTGTCATTAATACAAACTCAACACTTCCTGCAGTTATTTCAGTTAAAGTCCTCCATTAAAGAGAGCTGATTATGTCCTTTACTGTTTTACAGTCTCTTTGGGCAGATTAGCAGTTGGTTAAGTTTGGACTGAGGTTAGAATTTGTTTAATAAACTGAGGTAGACCAACAGTGTCAGACACACAGCATGTAACAATGGTATAATCTGACCTCACAGCCCTTTACAAGCCAATATATCAATGTAGTAGAGTCACAAAAACCAATGATATCAGTTTGATGCTCTGTTTAATGTGGGATATATTTCTTTCTTTCTTTCTACAATACTCAGCCTGCTCTGTTCCTCATCCTGAATAAATGAAGTATTTTGACTAATTCTTTTTTTTCTCCACACCAGGACTGTATCATCTATTCACTGCAATTTTAGCATATTTTATCTTTATAGTATTTGAATATAATATCATACACATTTGCTTCATATAATGCATTAAGTTTTGTTTATGAACTTGAAATCTGATATGGTGATAAATGGGCCAACCTTCACACACAGCCAAATCTAGTTACTTTACTTGATCCCCTTTACTGACTACTTTCCCTCTTCTACTGTGGAGAACATCTCCTCAGCCTCCTGGTCCTCTCTGCTGCTGCCACAGCTGCCAACAAATAACTCTTCTTCTGCATTTAGAGGCTTTGCTCTTCAGTGCTGTCAAAGTTTGTTTCACAAAGTTTGTCCTACCCACCCCATTCGTTTTGTTTTCTCTTGATGTTATTAACTGCAGCATGTTCCTGCAGTTTTCCTCATGTCCTTACTTAATTTACATATATCCCAGAATGCAATGAAAGTGTCAGCTAGTAATGCCAAAATCTAAAAGGTCTAAAAATGAATTTACTTCATAGTTTGAACGTCATTTCCTGTAGAATATGGATTCAAATGTGAGTTTGAAAATATATCAATATGATCAAGTGTATAGAAATTAAGGTTACAAAATTATTTTTAAAATACAAAGATGTGACATTATCGGTTATTTTATTGGCTGAAAAAAACAACAAACAATCCATAAGAACTGATTCCAGATTCATCTGCTTGCTCACAACAGATTTTTGAATAACTGTAAATCTTTACAGTGACTTCAACATGAAAGAGAAAATATATTTTCTTGTTCTCAGGTGTTTTGCTGCTGAAGTACAATCAGCAGTTTGTGGCCATAAAATCCAGATTAAGATCCATCCTAGTTTGAAACAGTATCTGCACAAATAACTCTGCATTAATATAAATCTTTTAACAGAACATTTAATCTTCATCCTCAATTCATCATCTTCATCAGGTCAGTTTACAGTAAAAACAGTCTCTTACTGTGCGTCTGAGGGTCCAGGGTCATTGCTGAACAATGGAGGAAGATGTTTGGAACAGTCACTCTTCATAGACAGACAGCTGGACACTGGAGACTCTGCTCTCTGTCTGTTGGACTGAACTCTGCAAACACCAACATGTTTATATTCATATTGCCTGAATCCTTGATAAATTCTAAGATGATAAAGTCATTCAGGAAGCTCTAAATACACAAACTGCTGTCAGTGTTTCCTCTGTGTTGATTTTGGAGCGGTGGCCCGCCACTGTTAAATATCTGCTGCCACGGTATTAGAAATGGGGCAGACGCACAATGTAGTCACGGTTGCCTTTTAAATGATCCTGCCGACATAATGCACCCCCGCTGGCTGCCGCTCACAGTGCAGTTTAACAACAAGTAGAACTATTCAGAGGTTATTGGGGCTGTCCAGTTTAACTCCACATACTGTTGTGTTGATGGAGCTTATTGTCAAAACAGTCGCTTTCTTCCAAATCAACTATTAAACTAACAGCTCCGATACTGAGTAAGAAATCTGATACTTTGTCTTCATTCTCAATTCATCGTCTTCATCAGGCCAGCTTAGAGTAAAAACAGTCTCTTACTGTTGGTCTGAGGGTCCAGGTTCATTACTGAAGTCTGGAGGTTCAGGTTTGGAACGGTCACTCTTCATAGACAGACAGCTGGACACTGGAGACTCTGCTCTGTCCTCCTCTTCCTCCACACAAACACTCATCTTCTGATCTGAAGAAAAACAAGTTTGTTCAAGAGTCACACGCATAAACAGGAAGTAACACACACACACACACACACACACACACACACACAGAGTGAGAACTCCACCTCATTTTTCTTTCAGTCTGTGTTTGTTTTTAGGTTACAGTAAGTTTAATGTGTATTATTCAGTCAATCAGACAGCACAGATCAAACTGTAGAGTTCATTCTAACATTTCTTTCCTTCGCAGTCCACAGGGAGAAAACTCAGTAACATAATAATAATGTTGTATTAACACTCACCCTGCCTCAGACTTCAGTTTTACTCTGTCTGCTCTGTCGACTCAAAATGGAGTCTGACTGAACACTTTCACTTTCAGGTTCCCTCCCTGTCCTCATGTACCTGGATCACCTGCAGTGTAGCTCCTCCCCTCTCCATTTACAGGAAATCACCTTATCTGTGTGTGTGTGTGTGTGTGTGTGTGTGTGTGTGTGTGTGTGTGTGTGTGTGTGTGTGAGTGTGTGAGTGTGTGTGTGTGTGTGTGTGTGTGTGTGTGTGTGTGTCTGTTGGTTTGAACAGATTGGATAAAAATAAATCTTGGTCAGAATGTCAGTACTTAAATGTTTAAATAATGTAAATACATTTTTCTTCAAATTATAACTAATGGCTAGCTCAAAGCTATCAGCTAACTAAGCCTAGATGTTGTAGTCAGCTGACAGCTATCGTAGCTAACAGCTAACCACACCTAGTTCTTAGTATTGTAGTTAGCAGAGAGGTAACGTAGAAAACAGCTAATTAAGCCGAGTTATCTTAATAAATGTAGTCAACTGACTCAGAGACACTGTGACAGTAACATAATAATAATGTTGTATTAACACTCACCCTGTCTCAGACTCCAGTTTCCCTCCGTCTGCTCTGGCAACTCAAAAGTCATTTAACTGGATCACCTGCTCAGTGTGGCTCCTCCCCTCTCCATCTACAGGAAATCACTCATCAATCATTTTGTGTGTGTGTGTGTGTGTGTGTGTGTGTGTGTGTGTGTGTGTGTGTGAGTGTGTGTGTGTGTGTGTGTGTGTGTGTGTGTGTGTGTGTGTGTGTGTGTGGTGCTCACACAGATCAGCTGTTTCCCATGATGTGTTTGAGTGTCTCTCTCGGCTTGAGCAGATTGAATTAAAATACTTTGAGTGATGTTTAGTTTAAGTTGTAACTAGTTTCTAGCTCAAAGCTAACATAGGTAACAGCTAACTAACTGCTATATAATTAAAGTTGAGTTATTTAAAGCTATAGAAAGAAGCTTTCTGTCGTTATCTTGGCTTCACTGTTGAGCAGTGTGTGGATGACGTCCAGCTATATACAGTCTATGATCTCTGAATGAAGGAACTGCTCACTACTGTGAAACATTCAGAGTATATTTCAACCTGTGCTGATCACAGTCTAATTATCAGTCTGTATATGTGTAGTATTGTCACAGAGGAAAGTCAATCCAACAATCATTCATGTGATTTTCTTTATAAACCAACAACAAGTGTTACTGATGACTAGAAGCTGGACTAAAATGAACACACTGCATTAAAAACACAACAAACACAACCAGCCATGAGGTCAGAGATAATCTGGCAGTAAAGGACTGAATGAATGCAACTGTTTTATAAAGACATTCACTCATTCACAAGATCCAGAGATCCAGACTGCACTACAAAAGATGGTCTTAAATCTTTAATCTCTTCTCCACTGTCTGTCTGTCTGTCTGTCTGTCTGTCTCTCTGTCTGTCTGTCTGTCTGCTAGATACAATCACTGTCCTACAGGGGCTGCAGTGGTTCAGGAGGCAGAGTGGATTGGAACCACAGGGTTGGCAGTATGATATATCTTCTACTGTGTAACGACAGTGTAAAGAGGGTTTTCCTACCTTGAACAGACGCTCTGCTGTTACTGAACAAACATGTCGCAGCTTTGTTCTGGGAGAAATTCATCAGAGAGATTCTGCTGCAGTTGTTTAACAATGAAACTTGATGAAAATGATTTCACTGAATAATAAAGATGTTGAGTGTTACTGTGAATCAGGTAGCACATAGAAACGTTTACAGAGGTCCATGAATGTGCGACTGTTTCACGTAGAGTCTGACAGCAGCTGCTTATCCAAATGTTTATATTCAAAAGTCTTTAGCACAGATATCAGCAATTTATATATTTTTATATTTATTCTAAATCTATTATCTTTCTATTTATTAATTTGACATGTTGAGGTCTGTTTGTATGTGACATTCATGTATGTGACATTTTATTGTAACAGCAAAATAATTAAATGTGTTTAATGACAATAGTACGGAAGCCCTTAAGGGAAACCGATTTTCTTTATCTTTAAACACAAGTGGAAAAACATTTAAATCATTTTAGTTTATGTTTATCAACTTGTGAAAACAGGTGAAAAGTGCAAACTTGGAAAATGATCTTGACTTTCAAAGATAAATACAAATTTAAAACTTATAAAAAAGACCACAAGAAATAAAAGAATCCACTTGTCTTTCAGGGCTTCTGTACAATTGTCTTCATGAACCTGTGATAATGTGGAAAGCTCAATAAACTGAACTAACAAACTTATTTTCATTCATTCATCAAATGCCTCATTTATCATCAGTGAGTTATTATGGCAGCCTGAATGTGCTGAGAATAAAGGAGGTTTCTGCTTTCAGCATATTCTGCTTCAGTTTCTGACTCCAATAATAAGAATCAGAGGATTTAATCAGAACCAGAATCATCAACAAGCAGAATCAGAACTGGAGTCAACTGTAATTATTACTGAGGAGAAAACTGACCCACAGATGTTAAAATCACCAAACCTCAGCTGGAAAACTGGAAACGTTTTAATAAATGTTTTTATTCTGTAACTTTATCAAATCTGTCAAATCTGAGTCTTCATGGTTCCTCTGAGGTCTCATCACTCCCAACAATTCATATATTCTCATTTTTATATTCAATAGAAGACAATTAATAATTCACATTAAGCACAATTAACTTTTGGCTCACACAGTTCATTTATAATAATCCTGGCCTCACCGTTAATCTTTTCATTTATATGATTTCAGATTCTGTTTATTCTTGTTGATTTCTCAGCAGCTCAGATTAAACTTCAGTGTTTTGGGGTAAGAAATAAATCTTTGTTGTAGTTTGATGATGGCTGCTTGGTTCTCCTGTCTGTTGATAATGAAACTAACAAACAAAACAAACTGAGAATAGAATTATTAGCTTAGCTTAATTTGTGCATCATCTTATCTAAACTATCATATCTATACACATACATGTGATTACAACACCTTCCACCTCAGCACATGTTTCTGTACGTGCAGATTCAGTCATTGTCATGTTTGCCCAATTCCATCAGCTTATCTGCAGTTTACATTTAAGATGGATTTACATTTGTTGGTCCTGTGGTCTGTTAAAGCCCATTTGTGTGTCCTCATAAACTGGACGTGTGAACTTCTCTAAACTGAGCTGCTGTCTCCTGCAGTGGGAAGCTAACTGCCACTAGAGGTCCCCATATCTACAATTTAAGTTTATCCTGTTGCAGATCTGCTTCAACTAAACTTCAACTTAAACTTCATGCTTTCACAAGTGTTTGCATGGATTTCAGTTCCAACCCTATTTGAACAAGAGGCACAGCTGGACAAACACACAAAGGGCTGAATATGTGGTTTGAGGTTTCTAAAGCCAATCCTGCAGTTTGTGTTGGTACGGCCCTGTTAGTTAGCACTTACTGCTGTCAGTCCTTTTTTATTAACAACTTCAGTCTGTGATACACATGTCATTGTCCACACTCCTTTGCAGACCGGTGCATTGGTGTACACTGACATTACAGGTCATGTGGTTTCTATGTTGTGGTGATTGGTGCAGCACAAGTGTTTCTAAGTGTCTCCCGGTGACGATATCTCCATGTTCTGTTCCTTACAGATCGTCTCCTGGTCTATATAAAAAAGGGAGCAGATGAGCCAAATATGAGCTTTTGCAGCCACTAGAGCTTGTCCAACTATTCCAAACAAGTATTTCACAGGCTTTATGTTTCTGATAGATTGGATGTTTCTACATCAGATTTACCTTCCATCTCACTGAGAACAGCAGGTAATATACAGCACATACACTAAATAAGACCAGGGCTTAGAACACTAAGGTGGACCTTATTAAATAGGCTACCCTTTGAAGACAAAACTAATTATTTCTCACATTAAATTTTATAAACATATCAAAGTGCATATGAGACAGGTGTGATAGACAAAACTAATCTGACTGCCCATAAAGGCAGTGATTCATTATGTCTACTGGTGTTTTTAAGCCCATGATAAGCATTTCTGCATGAACATATAACTACAATTATTTTACTTTGATTTCACACTGTGAGAAACTGTTTGAGTCTTTCTGTGGCGTTTGTCGTGATTATCTTCCTGCAGTCAGTAGGAATTAATATTATTGGTTTCACTAAACATTAAGAAATCAGTTTATGTATGGGAAACAGCAGACTAAATGTGAATGTGCACACACAATTGTATGATTTGCTGAAACTTTAAAAAAAATAAAAATAACAGTAAGATTGTCAGATGTTGAATATCTAAAGTCAGAATTAAGACATAAATCAAAAAGTGAGATTTATTTATTTACTGTATTTGTTTATTTTAAAAGCCCATATTTATCATTAATCCAGATGTGTAACACTTAGAAGGAAACCATTCAAACTATTTTGTGAATATCTGTGTTAAAGGAGAAAAGTCTGTAACACTAAGGTTTCAAGATTCAAGAGGTTTATTGGCATATGTACAGTAAATAACACAGTGGTTTAAACGTACAATGAAAGACTTGAAAAAAAATGACTCCCCTAGGCAACACACAAATAGAAGAATAGAATAAAGGTAAAAATATAAAAATATAAAATATGAAATATAAAATATAACTAAAATATAACTTACAACTGTACTGTTTAAGAGTCTGATGGCCTGGGGGTAGAAACTGTTAGAGAGTCTTTTTGTCCTTGGTTTCACAGTCCTGTAGTCCTGACGGCAGAAGTGTAAAGAGACTGTGTTGTGGTTGTGTATTGTGAAAGTGCCTCAGAGCAAGGCAGCAAAATCAACCTGCTCACAACTGAATTTCATTTAAAGGGAAAATCAACCTGAAGTAACCTTTTATTTTGAAAGTCTGTTTCCTCCTCAGCTGTATACATTTTTAATATAAAACAATGTGTTCTATGTATTATTTTGTCAGCTCAGAACACTTTGTGTCATTAAGCTTTAACATAAAGTGAAGATTTTCTGATTAAACTGTAAATGTTCTGACACATTAAAGTGGAGTCTGTTCTCATAAGAACCTTAAAGATCATTCTGTTGATCAATGTTCAGACTGAAAACTGTCCTCTGCATACAAACTAAACAGTTACACAGATTAATGAAACAGTTTCTGACTAACTGAAGATCTCTGAAATGAAACACAAACTGGAAGTTTCTTTTCATTTCTCACACTGACTGAACAGAAATCAATTCGTTCCCAGTTGAACCAGAATAAAGCTCCAGTCAGACAGGATGAACATCACAGGAGGTGGAGAATTAAATCTCCATTGACCTCAGTGACTGAACTCCTTGCTCAGGACTCATTTATAAACGCTGCCTACGCACAGAAGAAGGCCAACAATGCCACCTTCCAAGCTAACTTTGGGATTCAAAGAAAAACTTGACGGGAGAAGGTGCGGTCCTTCATGGAAACTCTGAGCCATGTGTTCACTCAGAAACTGGAGAAATGAGAAAGTGGCAGCAGGATGAAATACGAGAAA